TATATGTCATTATTTAGGTTAATTGCAAAGTGTTTGCACTCGTTTGAAAGCTACAAACAAGACGCGTTTAACAAAGCTACTACCATGGATGTTCATGCAATAGTTTTTGCGTAATGCAGTTGTAAAGTTATGTAAAATGAATATTTTATATATATATTTATATATAAAAAGTCCCATTTATAGCCTATTATTCACGTTAAATTGAACATAAATAGGTCTAAAGACGCGTGCTGGTACCTTGAATGCAAATAATTGGCAATGGGAAAGCTTGGGCTACAATATCAAGACTTTTTGGGCATATTCTTCTGTTTTCAATGAATTTTACTTTATTTGGCTCCCCTGAACAATTTAAAAATCCAAAAAACGCCATCTTAAAAAAATTATAACTCCAACAGTTTTCAAGCTACGGCAATGAGAGACATACCATTCGATTTGTAAAAACAATACCTAGCGACTCTAGAAGCCTTTTTTTAATATGTGCATGGTTTGACTTATATATGGGAGGGGGAGGAAGGTGGGGGGGGGGTAAAAATGTGAAAAAATTGGTAGAATGCGAAAAAAACGATGAGGAAAATAAAAAATCGGGGCTCTACTGTCGCTAGATATTGTTGTTACAAATCGAATGATATGTGTCTCCACATTGTAGCATGTGATTTGCAAAAGTTATAAACTTTTTTAGAGTACCCCTTATATGCCGTTTTCTATTAATTCCACGTTTTCTTTAATTTTTTTCAAATTTACATGAACAAAAAGGTCTTAGATTTCTGTTTTACATATGTGTACCAAGTTTCAAAACGATCCGTCTGTAAACAAAAAAGTTTTGTTGGAGGGTAGCCGGTCCCCTTAAGTAAAATCTATAAGCTTTATCTATAAATGTAGCAGTAGCGCTGTAGCGGCAAAACCTCGTATCGCTACTAAAATATGTAGCGGGCGCTACCGCTACCGCTACATTGCCTTAAATGTAGAGTCGCTACCGCTACTGCTACTGAAAATGTAGCGGCCGCTACATGTAGCGCGCTACTGCCCACCTCTGCGAAGACCCATGTTATTTACTAAGTCCCGTACAAAAATTCACTAGCATTTGTCTTCACTTGAGTGGCAACTGTACAAGTAATATGCAGTATGACCATTCTGAGGTAACCACAACTACGCAATCTTCAAGGAAGAAATGTTTTGAGTTGACTTGTTATTACGTTCTGCAGGTTATTTTGGCAGGGGGGGGTGGGAGCATTGAACTGTGGATTGCAACAGTTGAATATTCTATTAAACAATACAAGTTTTTCAATCAAACAAAAATTTGTGACATAAGAGCTGCGAGATTTCACACCTACCTACTGAAATTAGATATTAGAGCCGCAATATTTCAGAAAAAATAGGACTTTTCCAGCCCTGTATTCATGGTTAGCTTTTGCCCAATTTTCCAGTTAGGTGTCTCAGTGTATGCTGGCATGGTATACATCTGCCATTTGAGCTTCAATTAGAGCTTACCTGCCATTTTTGCAACCAAAAAATTCCTGTTAGGCTGTTGAATGAATGTTATAGAGGTAGGTATATATCCTATCTAATTGTTGATAAAACTGCCAAATGAGGCTGCAAGATTCAAAATATATCAACAATTTGTCACTTGGGAGCCAATGGATATCCTTCAGCAGTAGGAGAATTCCAATCTAGATGACATACACATGTTCTTTACATATATATTTGTCTACCTATTCTCCTATGTTTTCTATGGCTTTAAAGTAAGTTATGGCTTTAAAAACCAACTCATGCCACTAAGTTTCAATTGCAGCTTCTTGTTGTAATGTAGATATTTTCCATGCATTTTAGAACTAGGGTGGATTTAAGATAGGTGATGAACAAGACTCCTGCATCCAGTACATATTTATTAAATTTAAGGTAAATCTAGACTGAAAGTTTAGTTCCGTGCTGGTAGGGACAAAAAATTTTGACTGATATACTCCTGAGAAATGTAAAACAATACTAAGACAGGATATACCTGAATAAACTATAAAATAGAATTTTTCCATTTTGTTCACAGAGTGTCCTTGATTGATCTGTAGTATCCTTGTCATTTGCTTTATTCAAATCTCACCTGAAGATTCATCAAGTTTTAAAGTTACAGAATGGATACAAAGCTGCTACCAGTGTTAAGGAAGTTGATGGTTCTTTGCTTTCTATTATTTTTCATCAGTCATTTGTGATTTGCATTTTTAGTTTTTTCTTTCTGTTGCAGTTTCACCTGCTCATCTCCACCTGTCCATGCTCCTTCTATACAACTAACTAGCACATTTTCACTGTACTGTCCAAATCAATTTCTTCATTATGTTGCAATTTTTTTTTATGTATTGGTTCATTTTACTGTCACATATTTTTATTCATTATTTATTAGAACCAGTCTTTTAGAATCTTTCACTGAGAGCAAGTTATCAGGCTGGAGCAATATTGAATATACATAAACCACCACTCCTGGAGTTCAAGCATGTAATGGACCAGAAGACCTGAAACTATACCTATATACCATCTTTATTTAGCTCACCCAATATATTTAGCCAGCTGGATTGTCATGTGAACAAATGAACCACCATTTGATATGCACAAAATAGTATAATTTTTGTTGAATGTTTCCAAAACTAATTAAGCATACAAGATTTTTTGCTCAAAATCTTTGTTGGATGTATTCAAAGTCCAAAGTTAATTTTTTTCCACTAACCTGCACTGTGTAAGCCCTACTAATACTTTTAGTTTTAATTCTTTGAATCAGAAGTCATCCAGAAAATTTTTGTGCTTCTGTAATTACAAGGACAAGCAAGGTAGCATTTATGCCTTGTAGTTTCAAAACTTTTTACATAGGCTTTTTTCTGTTTATTCAGTCCTCTAAACAAGAGAGTGTTGCTGAATCTGAATTGAAATCAAATCTTCTCACACTAATAAGCAACAATTTTTGTTTGTAAATCCAAAATGCATACTCAAAATCCTAGAAAATTTTGTGCCATGTAAATTAGGACCAAAGAGAATGTTACAGTATCAACTTATTTCTCAATTCCAAGTAAATTGATTTATTGGAATAGAAATGATAAACATTTTTAGAGAATATGCTTGCACAGACATTTTGATGCCAAAAATAGTCTACTCAAGAAAAATTAGTGATGGTATTTTTCTCAGTGTAGGTACTCTGTGAGTTATGTGACACTGATTGCCTTCTAGAAGCTGAGCTTCAACAGGGCTGAGTAATATTCACTGTTTAAGAGATGACTGCAACCTATCAGAATTTCTCAATACATATTGTGCATATCTCAATGTATTGTAAACCATACATTGGTTACAATGCAGCCCTCACCTCTAACTCAAATAGTTCAGATTCTTGGTTCAGTAAAATTTGAGGATATATTTTGCACTAGTGCAGCCTTGACATGTTTCTCAGTGGAATTTGGCTCTTGAGGGATCCAGTAATCTGTTATACCATTTCTGTTAGCATATTTGCTTGTGTGATATAGAAGTGCAAAGATATATATATATATATATCTAGAACAATATCCATATTGCTGATCATCCAACTCTGCATTTAGCTCAGAACAAAAATCTAAACCACCATATATGAAGATATATTAATATATACCTCCAAGTTTCAATTATCCAATTCCCAAGAGAAGTTCCAATAGGTATAGAGGGCATCCCACAAAATTGTCACAACTTTTAAATTGAATAATTATATCTCTGCTTCAAATTAACATAATTTAGCTTTAATTTATTGGTTGGTATGTAGAGTACATTTCTGTGGAGAAAAACATGCATTGTGAAAAGAAAGTAAAATTAAACTTGTTGAAATATATTAAGCTGAGATGTTTGTAATCAATTAATAAATAGACCCAACATCTTATGGCACACCCTGTATAATTTTTTCTTGCCCGTCATTGAGCTCAAGTGTATTTCTATACCATGAATAATGTTCTTTAAATATCGCCCTGCTGTTCTCATCCTCCTTGTTGAAGTTAATATATTTTACTCTAGTTGCAGACATTATTTCTGCATTGTTCCTCTTTACTTTTGCTAGGTATACCTTTCCGGCCACCATCAGCATATAAATAGAGGAATTATTGAAGATTGAAGCTGCATCTATTTCTGTGTATTATCTATATCAATATTCTTTAATTGTCAGTTTGCTCATCAATTTGCTCCAGATCGTTATTCATCGTAAAAATTTCGAAATTTCATTTATAAATTCCTGATTAGTTTTGGACATTCAGTCTTATATTAGTCATGTTCCATTCTAAGAATTTGATTCGTCCTTTTGCAGATCGAAAACGACTGTGGTCAAAGATACGGGGAGCTGCTTTAGAACGCATCAGATCTTCTCTCGGTCAGAGGGCTGCCCTCTCCTTGCACCCCTGCAGTGTTTCCCTCACTGCAGGCCTCTTATTTTCTTGTTAGGCACACGTACGCTCATCGACAGACAACATGGATAGCGCTCACATGTACTCCTATGAGGAGTGCTTAAAGAACTTCGGTGTTAATAATGCTGGTCTCAGCTACTTCGAACTCTTCAAGCTCTTCTTCTTTCCCTCTGCTGAGTTGCTTGATTATCCGCAAGCTGAAGTAATTCTTAGGGAAATATACAGGTATCAATATTAAACAATTCTGCACAGTAAGTGATACAACTTCGGTTAGATATTTTTTTCGCCACGACTCAGTGAAAAAAACTCATTTTGAGTAAAATTTTACTCAAGGCAGTCATCCCAGTGTTAACTAGAGCAAAAAAAAAAAAACAAGTTACGAACTTTTTCTCTACGGCTTACTTTTTTTACTCTTTCCAACGCTTCACTCGCCTAATAACGTGTATTTTTGTCACGTTTCCAGTTGGGTGTATTGCTACCACTGGGACTAAACAATACTGTTAGTGAACATTGGGTGTATTGCTACCACTGGGACTAAACAATACTGTTACTGAACATTACTGGTACTTAACATTACTGGCACTTAACACTCCGTATTGTACCCCACAGAACTGCCCGCCGAGGAAGGCAAGACTTTGCTACAGCTCATCCTCGAGCAATTCGATGATCTTCTCGTCAAAATTCTGCTTCTTGCTGCCATCATTTCATTCGTAAGTTAAACATACAATCTAAGAAACATAAATAATTTCATCAGCGATAGAAATTTATTCTGCTGCTTTTTGCATGGTTGTTTGTATTATAGGTTAACTGTGTTTTTAGTTAAATTTAGTTAAATTATTTAAGTTCAGTTTCTTTAATCTCATATTATTCACGAATAGAATTTGAAATATTAATAGAAATAATTGCTTCCCTACCTATTTATATTCTGATTTAAATTACTTGAGTTTTTTTCTATAAAATCTTGATAAAGAATGCCGTGCTCAATTTGTAAGCGAACCGCACGGTCCTGCTCCGCTATGGAACCTCGACTCAAGCTATTCGTATTTTCAAGACTCAGTTACTGATTTTTTACATTTAGTCCTAAATTTTGCATTACATCATATTTGCACTAATTAATTTAATCTTGCAATAGATTTTTAAATAAAAATTACGACGTGATTTATTTTTGGGGCGTTACTCTCGAGTCTAACTGAACACTTGAATTCAGTATTTTTCCATGGAACAGAGTAATCTTGATGAAGTAATTTATGTCACGGCTGGTAGCCTCTGACTGACCAAAAAAGTATGCATATTCATTACCATTGAAGGATATTCTCCTTGGCAAGTCGTGGCTTGCATCCAAATGCACTGACGGTTAATTTCCGACTGTATCGTGCTTCTGCTCACCATTCCATTTTATCTCTTACGTACGACCGTTCTTATCCGTGATAAAGTAAGGTGCTGAACTGCTGATGTATATGAATATAAAAATTAAGAATGAAATGCTACGGTAAGCCAACGTTGTATATCGTTGAACTATCAATAAACCAATAAACGTTCAGTTCCTCCGCTTCCTCGCCTCTTCCTTATCCGGTTCTCAGGCGCATGCGAATAATTGCTTTTATTTCACGTGCCGTGCATCCATGATCGCTACTCAGAGCGTCGCCCGCTGGCTGAACACGTTTTATACTCGTTTAAAGTCTTCTCGGGTCCTAGTGATTGAAGAGTACGATCCTCGGAATTGAGTACGTACATTACTAGCTTTCCATCATTTGCGTTACAACGCACGTTTGCAACAATCATAGCTTATTTCCTGCATACTATTCGGTAGGATTTTAATATCCTGGTTTTTGTTCCTTAAACCATTAATCGGCGCACATGATTACGCCATCTCTCGCGCCCACTTGATGTTTCGTCTGAAGTTTTGAGATGTTATTCACTCGTCAGGAACGAAACTTCTGCCACGAAATGTTCGTATGAAAATATTCTTGGTTATATTGTGTGCTCATCAACTATTTGGTTTTGGTCTCTTACCTAGAATTAAGTATTGGATATATTAGAAACCCACAAATTCTGGGTTTCGCAATATTAGTTTATACAGTTCATCATTTTAAACCTTGACCTACAAAATGCCGCGAACTGTTGCCTCTTTAGTCTGCATATGTCAGGGCCGTGCTTGTGAGCGATGTCCATTAGCCGGCCATGTCAACTTGGCTCAAGACAACTCTAAATCCTGCAACGAGGAAGTGACTTCACGTTTTGTTTAAAAGGAGCAGACGCAAGGAATTCGCAAACGACCAGCGAGACACCAAAACAGCGCCTGTGAAGGCCTTGTTTTTGGGCGGGCTCACCTCCCAGATTGGACGGATTTATTTCCAACTAAGCGGATCATGAACTCAAGGATTAGGTTCTCGGCAGAGTTCTTAGGTGTGTACTTATAGGTGTGTACGTATAGGTGTGTTTACTTCTATCTTCCTCATGGAGAAATTATTTATTTTTGTAAAGCAACCGAACAATTATTTATAAACCTCTTAATGGTTTGCAGATAATTTGGTATTGAATTTTATGGATGAGCTTCGTTCAAAATGCAATCAAGTTTATGGCGCTAATTTAGCATAAGAATGTGTGTAATTTTCTGTACTGTTATAATGTCTGCCTCAGTCCCCTGTTAACTAAAGCGTCTAGCGGTACAATGTACAAATCTGTCGCCTTTCATATGGGCGATTTTTTTTATAAATGAAGATCGTTTGTAAAATTGGACAAATATTTGAATTTAATTTCAGGCAGCGCTATGTCCAGTTGGAGATTTTTGTCACGTGTTAGGTTTTTTTAATGAATAAATTTCAGATATATGGTATGGATGCAATGCTGTATTTTGCACTCGCAAGGTAGCTGGTCGCTAAAGGGTTGAGGCGCTTGGTCGCTCATACTAATGAACTTTGATTCGCTTGATCTTCAATTGTGTTTGTCTCGGCGCATCGCACTCATAAATGAGAAAACTTTGTCCAAATTGCTATGCAATTTTTGCTTTTGTGTGGGTCATCCTGACTCAGTTTGGCGGCCTGAGAGTGTAACAGTGCTACGTGGTTAAAGTTTGTCACTATTGCTCACAGTTCCAGACCTCTCCTCCGTACAAGAGAACAAGAATCATAGCCAAAGTACTCTGCTGTATGTAATTGGTTAGCAGGCAATAAAGCCCTCTTCCTTTATTTTCGCTTGATCTTTATTATTGGTGAGGGAGGTGAACTCGCGAAGAAATATACGAGTCTAAATTTTTATTATTTCATACAACTTAGTACCGTATGTAACTTGTTCTATCAATTTAATTAATTGATTGTCTTCTATAGCTATTTTTAGGACCGTGCCCTTCAAATAATGTTGCGTTGAGACAAAACCCAAACTCGAAAACGCTTCTATGATATCAAGGTTTTTATAATTTTCTGTGCGTTTTGATTAAAATAATGATTATATTTGTGCTGGATTGATGACTGACAGTTCGTTCTTCTGCTTCCTCTCTTTGGATAGAACAGCAGCTACGCAGCTTTGTGTTTACGTTGAAATTTCAATGGTGCGATGGAATCGACGCTTGCTGCTCATGCTGCACCTCATGTTGATGCTGCTCACGCTGCACCTCATGTTGATGCTGCTCATGCTGCACCTCATGTTGATGCTGCTCACGCTGCACCTCTTGTTGATGGTGCTCACGCTGCTGCGGCGCATTTTACACTTCGTGTCATGCTGTTGCGCCTTATGTTTATGCTGCTCACGCATCTTCATATTGACTCGTGTGTTTATCAGCTACCCGAACTGATCTTATTCTGGCTGCTTGCAACTCAGGAATGATTGCCTGCTGCCGATTTCGTTTATTCAAATTGTTTTTTGTCCTTCTAGGCCTTTACTCCAATCAATTTTTATCTTCTTCTTCAATCTTTTTTTCTTTAGTTTTGTGCAGTAAATTTTTCCACAGAGATAATATTTTTAGATTCAAGTAACTTCTTATATTCCATACGAACCGATGTTCTTATATAGAGTTTCGGTTGCCGTAGCTCTCATAGTATATTAATTCTTTTCGGTTAAATAGGCGCTTATTCTCAGTTTCAAAACGCTGTTCGTTATCCATATTTCCCGTGCACATGCAGTTCATTTCATTCGGTTTTTCTTCCTCATACGAGCAATCTTCATTTAGTCCCGGATACCTTTGTATGGGATGAGATTGATGATTGATTTTAAGAGCGAGATTGCAATTGATGGCTCGCTGTGTGATTGCGTGAAGCACGTACTGGCGCCTCGTTGTCTGCTTCACCAACACCAGGCAACCCCCCACATCCTTGTTGCCCTGCCACGTCTGAGCGCACTACATTCCTCCACCTCAGGGTTATTGACCTTAATGTGTCATGTTCCTGAAGTCATATGTCCTGGCTTAAATAGAAATATGGTTTAAAGTAAAAGTATCTTCCTGTATAGACATGGCCAAATAAATAACCACTCATTTACCGTTGATAGTATGTGCATACCTCTGTATTTATTCCAAACATCCGTATGTATACGTACTACACAGATCGGTCGCAACTCACGCAAAGTGAAATACCTACCCGAGATGTGGGCATGTACGAGACAGGTGCCGTCGCAGTTATCGCGCCGCTAATGCGCGCTCAGAGATATTGGTTGCGATTCATGGCGGCGCATCGCTGGCATGGGTGCACGTTTAGTGAACGCACATGAAACTGCGCTCAGTGTCGGGACATTGTTCTTATACTTTAATTCCATGATGTAATTATTGCAATGTCGTAAATAACTATTAAAATGTTCTTAAAGGCTGAAGTCAAAAGCAACGTTCGCGCTTCGGTAGCATCGCCTGAATTTTCATGTTCATTGAAATTGAGGATTGCACTTAATCCGTCCCCTACTAACTGACACTGCGCCTCGTATGTGTTACGAGTTAATTGCATGTAATAATTAGCGATAATTTGGGTAGAATTCTCTTGTGAATAGTTTGCATTCAGGAAAGGTAGGAGGGTTTCTTCTCTCTTTTTTCAATAATCGCCCATTTGATTTCCTAATTTCCTGCGTTCATTGTATATTCCGGCCTGTTGCTGGCATATCACTCCACCTGTATTGGCGCTGCACGCGTCCCCGTTTTGGAGCAGGTTGGCCGTGCAGGCCTGATAAAAAGTAACGCTGCTGCTGCTTCAGCGATAGCGAGCTTCACTTCAGCTACTTTGACGTCATTTGCTGCTCATCACAAGCACTCCTTCAGTTGCTCATTTGCTGCTCATCACAAGCACTCCTTCACCTGCTCATTTGCTGCTCATCACAAGCACTCCTTCACTTACCCCGCCACACTCATTACAGACGCCGCAATGCCGGACTTTTATCGCGAGTACGCTTCAGTTCATTGATGGGATGAGAATTGCTTCATGATTCATTATTCCATTTATTTCGTAGGTAAGATGAAGAACCATTGAACCATTGAAATCTTGAAACGCTTCATCATCTGTAGAATTTCTTGATGAACTACATCACTGCATATTATATTTAATGCTAATTTCATCGTATTGTCTTTGACGATTGCTGACCAATTTTCTCAAGGAGATTATCTTGCATTCAGGTAAAAAGTTCTGTCATATCGATCTATGTCGTCAGCGATGTAAATTGAAGTGAATGTGGCATGTGAATTATTTAATCAATTTTCTTGTGTTGCCCATTGTAGGCAGTTAGGTATGAGTAGTTTTTTTGTGTGGCAATTAGGTATGAGGGTAGGTAATTATTTTAATTTTTGTAAGTTGCTAGAGAAATTGCGGAAGTTTTTGGTTAACATCGCAGGATGGCGGGCAAACAGACTCCAATACCCGAGGTGATGAGACCATCCTGTTGTATGTCTGAATAGCTGTATGTCGAGTCTGTACCCCAGATATAAACGCCATGATTTAACTTATTCTAGCTGTATTAATTAGTTAAATTATCAAACGCCCATTCTACATGATCATCAGAAAGTAGTGCACTTTTTGTAGGCTAAAAACGATTTAGTTTTATCTTTATATCCTAAGGAAGTGGCACATCATCGCACTTGCCTGTTGCTTATTATGCATTGTACTCACATAAATTGGTGTATTATTTCTGCGTTTATAAGTGTTAGAAATCAATGAGAGATTCTAATGAATTTGTTTCAAGTTTGCATATGATCCAAGTTTCCGCGTTGAGTGTTTATGTACCGTAATAATTGATGATGAATAAATTGATGAAGCTTTTCACTTGCAGCACAATTTTTACAGGCATCTCATGGCAATTTTATTTGAATCTTAAGCATTAGTGCCTTATTCGATCGAGTGAATGTTTCTGGTCGCGGATTTTTCTTGAGTATAATAGTGAGCTGATGGGTATTTTATGTTGGTTTTGCTTGCACCTTATCGATCTTACAACCTAACATTACAACCTTGTTTAAGTTATAATAATATTTCAGGATCATTGTTTGACGAAGTATGATCAGCATTGTCGTGTAGCAGGCCTATATTGTAGTGGAAAATAGTCGAGTTTTTGGTGTAGCGATGTGTCGGTGCCAAGTGGCAAGTGTTCGTTGTGACGTCACGTCGTCCGTGGCCTCGCATACATTACATTGTACGTACGCTACGGTTGCCCACTTCACACAAAAGCCTTTGAACACCCAGCCTTTCTTTCCCCAAGATTGCGTTTCAAATCAAATTCTGTATGAAAAATTTGATTTATGGTGGGACGTCTTTCTAAGTTAAGAAATAAAAACATATCATTTTTAAACATCTGTCTGGTGATCAATGAACTGAAATGATTCCTTGTGTCGCCAGGTTCATTACTATCTACTTTCATTTTACTGGAATAATCTATGCTTAAAATTATAAATTTTATCAACTTTTTAATATTTACACAATATCTTTGCTATCGTCTGTTTCCGCTATAAATTATTGTATTACGGCGTTTAGACTTGATATGGACGAGTCTTGCACCATTTTTATTTGTAATGAACCACGAAATTTTCTATATTCTCACCTTAAAGTGTACGGAAACTGTAGCACAAAAAAATGAACCACGAAATTTTCTATATTCTCGCCTTAAAGTGTACGGAAACTGTAGCACAAAATAATAACTTGACATGCTTGAGGCCGCTCGGCCTTGGAAGATATTGCACGCGTGGCCTCTAGCGGCGATTAGTGCCGCCCTAGCTCAGTAGCCGCGTACTTTTAAAAAAGTTGCGAGTTCGTAACTCCATCAGCCAATAACTTATGGCTTTTCAAGCTTAACCCACCATCCAAAGACGCAAAATCGGCCGCTATATGGACGTAGAGCGCTAATTGTACTTGAAGTTTGACTATGACTATGAACCTATATGACTAGCACTGCTAGAGTTTATTCACAATCCTGTTCTATCGAAATCATCGTGCATTGATGAATAATTTATCGAGTGGTATTGAGTTTTCTGCTCTAATTTTTTCTTGCCATTGCACGTATTAACTTAATCGACCTTTTTGTCATGGCCATCACGCTTCGAGCAACACACGTTGCGGTGTTCTGTCCTGCATTTATAACTGCTTATTGTTGGCTTATTCATTGTCTAGCTTTAATTCAGACCGCATCTAGTCTAATGATAATCACAATCTTCTTCCAAGGTTATCTTACTGGACCACCTCGGTTACTATACATTCCTACTTTTGTAATCCAGCCATGAATATAACGTCGCTGCGGAGTCTGTGACCAGCTTTGGGTTCACGGAACTTTGGCCTAATTCACTAAAATATGGCTTTTATTTTCTCGTGTCTGGAAAATCAGTTAGAAGTTGAACGTTTTTCTTGTGGAGCTTGATTGCACGATATAAAGATACATGCTAAACCATGCTCATTGTGGAATTCATGCTATTTATTTTGGAGTATGGGAAGCATCTTTTAACTTCCACGACTCTTTCACATGGTGTTATTTTTTTCCGTTAGCACGTCCCAAAGGTAGTTTTGTGGAAGGCTTAGCTACATCTTGGTTTTAGTATCTTGAGTTGTTTCTGCTCACGCATAGTATTTTAATGTTAATTCAACCCAGTTTACGCTATTGCAAAATTTGCTGACTATTTGGTATTCAATTATACCTACCTATTTTTGCTGTTTACATTCGCTTGTGACAAACATTCACTTAACCCAGTCCGCGTCTCCTCAAAATTTCAGCCATGAAACGCGAGTGCAACGAAAATTTCGACCAGTGGTTAAACGAGGTTCACTATCAATCACATGGGAAAATGCCATTATTACAAATAGTGTTAGCTTGACGGCACAGTAAAATCTGGTGCGAAACAAAAGATAGAGCGCTCATCACCAGCTTGGCCTCGCTTGTCTCACCGTCCACTTGCAGGTCTGTCTCTGACGTCATCATTGACGCACTCTATGCATAGCTCCTCTCCATCACTTGGTCAGCGTCCTGTCTCGTCTCAAACTCCTCCTGTACTTGCCCTAAACTTTATGGAAATGCACTTCATGGGAATAGGAGATCAGGGAATTGTTATCGGCTTGTCGGCGCTGATCTTCCTCGCATATTTTACGAGAGAAAGCGCGTTACTTTCCCAAAGTCAAGGGTGCTTGTTTTATTGGCATGGGCTGATACAATGAACGGTGTTACCTGACAATGTTCGTCTAAATTGATTGGGTTAATAGAGTTGAAAATTCTATCAATTTTGCGATTAAATGTATTCTATGTACGTGTTGCTGGCCTGAAATTTAATGGGTTTCAATTCAATAGTGCGTTATGAAGATCTTTCAGATTTTAAAAACTGTTATCAATAAGTTTGCCAAATCGTGATTTACTGCAAACGCTTGCTCGATTCTCAGTTCGTCTGCTGATAACTATTTATATTATTGCTATGGTTTTAAGTTAAGATTTTCGGTGTACACAATCGGTAGAAGATCAGAAAAATCTATTGTGTCATTTAATGTTTTTTTGCAGCACGTATTATCTACTTTTTTATTCTATGTAGACAAACGCTCAGATTTTGAGAATAGAAAATATGTGAAAACTAAGAAGAAACGTGCTTGCTGGCTGCTTCATCATGTGTGATGCTGATGCATTATCACTTGAGTAATGTTTTGTATCTCTTGAAATCATGTGGTCCCTGCCACCGATTTTTCTTATTGCAGCCCAAATTTCACTGCATTTCACCCTATAACCATTTTCCTGTTTGAATGAATACACCGACGCCTTCTTGCTATGTAGTTCGGAAACTGTGCGCTGACCGCACGAACGCTATAAGATAGCTGTGCAGACTTCAACTGAATTTCGTATTTGCATGTGTTTATTATAATGTAAAATATTAATTATCGTTCATCTTTGTCAGGTCCTGGCGTGCTTCGAGGAGGAGGAAACTGTCACGGCCTTCGTAGAACCTTTCGTCATTCTCTTGATCTTGATCGCTAACGCCATCGTCGGCGTCTGGCAGGTGAGGCCTGATATGAACTGCTGTGTACTGATGGGGCTGGTTGCTTGTGGTCAAATCATCGTTACACGTTTTTGCTTTGCTTTGTGTGTGTAATGTGATTATTTACAGATCAAATGATTATAGTCAAGAATATGTTTAATAGAGAATATAGTATCACTTATGCTCGTATGTTCATGTATTTTTAGTTGTTAAGCTACATACCTGAAATTCACATTATCATTTATTGTATAAATTCATGTATGCCCCCGTGCTGAGAGTTATACATGCTGTGAGCAGAAGCCCGAAGTCTTGTTAAAATTTTGGCACCGTCAGTTCCCGTTTTGTTAGTACAACAACTTCGTTTGCACATCAGCTAGGTTTGCTTTATTGATGTGGTCCGAACAATACGCCTCACAACCACGACAATGTATACACTCGGTAATTAAAGACACCATCTTTTCTTTTATGTATGGTATTGATTAAGTTCGTTTCTTGAACGTTGTGTTCGCCACATACCTTACGCACAATACTTCATTACTTCAAAGGCATTAATTTCTAATAAAATACTAGTTAATTACTGGATAAGTCCTTCCACTTGGGTCGAATTCAGTGATTTCAGTAAATTTTGAAAATTTCAATTTTGAATGGCTAAAATAATTAATTTCAAGTTTTATCCTCTGCATATTTTGGATATTTGTATTAAATCAGTTTATTAGCGTCGTTTACACGAAGAGTTTTTAATCACGGTCAGTTTTTCGGAAATTCTGGAATTGACTCAAGGAAATTTATGGACCAATGCCACATACGAACCGTGCCACATGGCACCTACCGTATTCCGTATACGCAGCTGCTACGTGCTCTAAATCATTCTTTGTTTACAGCAGCACCTGTTGCGTTGCTTACCTTCAACACAATGAGTCATGTAGACTTTCAGCATGAGAAACTTTCAGGAAAATTGTTCCCATCTCTACGCAAGAAATTTTGCCTAGCCTTATTTTGGGTAAATCATTGTAAAGGTAGTAAATTTTATTGCTGCAATTTTCCAAAGGTGTTTATTATTAAATACTTTAATTTCTCTATTAATATTAATCTAGCAGTCGATTAGTTTTTAAACATTTACCGCTATCATACGATCGTGCTTCAGTCATCCTGATACAAGCACAAGAAGCGAGGTGCGAGTGAACCTACACGTTCTTGGAAAGATTTTCTTGGTATCTTGTGGTGTTGGGCTGGAGTCGAAACTCTACAGGTGTGCGTTTACAAGTGTCACTCTGAGTAACGAGCAGACTGCAGCTGTTTTGATTAGGATCCTGATGTGCAGGGTCCTAATCAATTGTAAACACTCGAACTGTCTTAACTTGGATTTATTTCATATTTCAGACTCGTGTACTTGAATTGATTTGCCTTGGAATTGGATTATTAGTTCTTTTATTTTTCTTCTTAGCCATCAATGTTCGTTGTTTGCATCGCTTGCTTCTTACAGTTTTGTTTAACCGAAGTCAACGATAACCAGTACATATTTTCGTCATTATTTATCAAACCTCTAGACCTGTCAACTATACAATAGATCTTATCGATATTTTTAAATATTGTCAAGTGTGAAGCGTAGTTCTTTCTGATGGTTGTTAATATTGGTAAGTGCGTACCGCGGTCGATAGATCAATGTGAAGTTGTATGAGGCAGCATATTGCAGCAGCACCTGTCATGTTGTGAACGATTCCTCATGTTACGAGTCGTTGTCCGTCCTATAATCAATGGCTGGCAAACTGCCGCCTCGTCAACTGCAAATAATCGTCGCTTCTAAATTATGAAAGCTGAAAAGAAACTCGTAAAATAAGACGTTTAATATTTCAGGCATATGACCTGGGAATCATTAGCGACTACAATGTGCTCGAAGTTATCATTTAGACCACCGATGTCTGAGTTATTATTCAGAAATGCTATGCCATGTTAGATTAGTATACCAAGGCTGGTTTATGGATTTAATTCCCTCTATATTACCCCGTTGATTTGCTCATTTGACGGTTGTCTCCATTCTTTTTATTACATTCTCGAAAATATGCTGGCTGTTTTTATTCTGTTAGTTTTTAGCGTAATTTGAAACCTTCCAAAATTCTATTTTCGCCGTTTTATATTCGGATGAATGCCACGTTGTGTTTGAAATTTTAATAGCATGGTTATGTGCCATGAAATCTAATCAATCAATCCGACCTTATTGATCCGACCGATCAATCAATTTATTATTATTTAAATTTAGTATTCATTTATTATTATTTAATTATTAATAACTGTACAGGAGCGCAATGCAGAGTCGGCCATCGAGGCCCTGAAGGAGTACGAGCCCGAGATGGGAAAGGTGGTGCGCGCTAACAAGAGCGGCGTGCAGAAGATCCGCGCAAAGGAGATCGTGCCGGGAGACATCGTCGAAATATCCGGTACGTAAGAAACATTGTCGTTAACAATATTTCGTACCAACAACGACATTCTTGTACCGAACACTTTGTACCAACAGCGACATTTTTGTACCGAACATTTTGTACCAACAGTGACATTTTTGTACCGAACGTTTTGTACTGATACTGACGACCACATTTTCGATGTATATAGAAGAGCAACAACGACATTTTCGACACGGTCGCGACAGCTTCGTTGCAATGGCTAATTGCTTAGATAGCTTCTTTGCTGCATAACTTTTTCTGTCTATGGCTGCTTGGTTGCGTGCCTTTTCGTTGCCATCAACCGATGGTAGTGGTTGTTTGCTACCTGCTGCTAATGATGGTTGTTTAGGCTACCTGCTGTTGATGGTGATGCTTTTTGAAGCTAACTGGTGATAGTTGTAGTAGTTAGGCGATTTGCTGATGGAGTTGATCCCTGGATGGAACAATGAGCGAAGTATATAACACGCCTAACTGATGAAAAAAGTGCCAGCTTATGCTCTCTCTCTTCTGGTAAGATTTACTGCAGTATTAAGCTTTGCTCCACCAGCCAAGATTCAGCTGAGTACACCGACTAAAGGTAGAGGTGTACAGCGGCATTGCACTCAATGAATTCCCACCACACTTGAATCTACATGGCTTATTTGAGCTCTCACCTGCCGCTCTATTGCCCTTTACTTCTCTTGTACTGAGGACTCTTCATATTCTCATTTTACTGCCACTCTCGGAACTTGAAAATTTAGTTCAGCATTCGTGCCTCAAATATTCAAGTCTAATTTGCCACCTCGTGATGGAAGCAGCTTTGGACCACGGCGCGGTAATATATTTCCAGCTTCTGCAACATTAGTCGTGCTGTTTATCGCGCAAATTGTTCATTTTGACGGCAAATTGAAGAGTTAGCTTACGCATCACTGAGTATTCTCTAGCTGTGACAATTGACAAGCCTGCAAGTCAGGCAGTGTCTCTTTTACATTTTTTACATACCACATGGCACATGGTAGAGGAAATATTCTTCGTTGCTTTATTATTCTTCGTTGCTAATAATTTTTAAACCATTACAACAAGTTGCAATTCTTTGCCTACTTCAAAAGTCTTGGACTTAGTTAAATTGTACTACAGTCGCGCTCCGAGAGCTTGATTAGTAACCTTTTTCTACCGCTATGTTTTTTGGAATGCATGACGTATTGGTTCCAATATTTGATTTGTTTCTGTTGTTGCAGTTGGTGACAAGATCCCTGCAGATCTGCGCCTCATCGCAATCTTCTCGACCACGCTGCGCATCGACCAGAGTATCCTCACCGGAGAGTCTGTGTCCGTCATCAAGCACACCGACGCCATCCCCGACCCCAAAGCTGTCAATCAGGTGTGGTATTGTTCACTTTTACATTTCCTTGTGTCTCTTATAATTGACCCAGAACTTTATTGTACCCGTCAATGTTCGCCGTGAGCCCCTATTTTGATACTGTGTACCGCTCTTATATGCGAATGATGCACCTACGGCCACCTTGATTAACCCTTCAATATTAAAGGGAAGTGGGATTCCTCGAATATATAATTGATAGCTTTTATTGACCGCAGTGTCTGTCTAATGATATCCTCAGATATTAACAGCTACAGTTAAAGCCCTTCGCAGTTGTATTTTTTAAAAATTTTACACTGAATTCACTGCTGGCTGTAAAGGGTTAATTATTTAATTTGCCTTCAGAAGTATTTTTCCTCTGCAAGCCCCGGTAACGTCGTCTGCTTGTGATCCTCTTAGCCTTGAATATTGACTGATGTGGAGCGAACTACACTGCCTCTATTTAGTGATGTAGTTGTTATAATAAGTTTTGCTTGTGGGTTTCTCTCGAATCCGTTATTTTCACGGCGTTATCTTCAAGTTACATCTAAAGTATTTTATATTTGATAATCCTTTTTAAAGTGGAGATCTTACTGTACGCAGGGACTGTCAGATGTGTGTGCTACTTCACTCATTTAGAATTGTAGTTTAAAATTATTTGGACGAAAGCCAGCTTGATGGTTTTACGTCATGTTTATCATCCAAAGTTGATTGAAATATACCTAATAATGGCGTCTTTATCCTTCAAGAATATCCTTGTGCTATTTCGACACGTTTATCGGAAGTGTCTAAATTGATCTGACTTACTTGAACATTGTTCGTTTACTTGGTCACTGAAGGCTTTCTCTTCCCAGTTCTTAGTTCCTTTTCTTCTCTTACAGTGAGCACTTAACGATTTCATAATCATTTGCATAACATCGTTGCTTCCCGTGATATCTGATCTGTAATCAGGAAATGAACCAGATATGGTTCTTTCAATTTTGCGACCTAAATGTACCCTGTTTACTTTTTGGTTCATGATAATCAAATTGAATTAAACATCATAACATGGGTCAACAAAAATTACATAAATTTCGGCTCATCGTTGGCAATTTTCATCTGACCAGATAACAATCTGCTCCTGATTTTTTTTAATATCAAAATAAATCCTAATGCAGAACATTGGTCATCTACGTTGGCGTTTTTTTCATTCAGTAAGAGCGTTTGTGGGACGATTAGCTGACAATATCTCCGGCATCGTGTTGTGCCCTAATCCAGCCGTGCCTTGTGTCTCATAAACCCATTGCCTTACTTGCCCCTGCGACTCTACTGTCCAACAAATAAATACTCTGGCATTGTTACTCAACGGAAACTTAATCAACTCCTTGAAGACTAATTCATCATGCATGAAGATATTGCTAATCGTTTGATCAAATTTTTCTATTGATATCGCTTTCTATTTGAGCGTCAAATGAAGTAACGCATGCTGAAATTTATTTTTTTTTCAAGAGTGGAGTCGCAGGTGACGGTTTAATTTTTGACTGCGTGTGCGTGTTAATTGCTAACCCTTTTGTTTGGTTTGGTGTTGCAAGCATTCCATGAAGGAGGGTGGCGGCATTGCCAGAGCTATCATCCAGGTAATTCTTCTCCGTCAAGTCATCATTTCCATAGCTTTGTTACAGTAATTTATTGCGTACATTTGCTTGCGTAGTGCTTGTTCTTGTATTGAAATTATTATTCGTTGTATCTCAAGCCTTCTTCTAGTTTCTAGTTTCAAGCAATCGCTATGACTTTTTAATTGATTGGTAATTATTTCATAGCTGGCTTCTATGCATGGATGGCTCTAAGAATTCACGCGAAATGTATCAAGTATTTCGTTTATTTTCGCTGCTTTTTTAAAATGCCTTATGTGAGTATGCAAAATTCTTTATCTCTCCTACATTATTTCGTGCGATCAGAACGCCCAATTTTCGGTCATATACTAGGGCACGTTTGAACGTTCTTCTCTATCAATTTTATCACAAAATTCATTACAAGTTAGTGAAAGTAACGAGTCTGTGCTGAGAAAGTTATGTTTAATTTGATTTAGTCTGAATTATTACTAATTTTCTAGTTGATGATTTATTAATTTAGTTTAGTTGATGAGTCAGTAATTAAATGTTTCAGCATTTTCAAATGACATTCCCAGATGGACCTTATCATTGGCTACTTACGCACGGCATTCAATTACTAAATGGAAAGTATTCTAATAACAGCTCCAGTGGTTAGAACATGTTGCTTCAATTTGTTACCAAAAAGCTGCTCGGTTTTGACTCTCATTTATTTTGACAGGACAAGAAGAACATCGTCTTCTCTGGCACGAACGTTTCTGCCGGCAAGGCTCGAGGTGTGGTCGTGGGCACCGGCCTAAACACTGCAATCGGTGAGAATAGAACGACGTTTACGGTCTTGATCTCACTTGGCGATTTTCATGATCTGTTACAGGTCATATTTTTCTCATCTGTTCAATTGCTTGTGTTGTCCATGTTGGGAAATTAACTGCTGTGGTTGGTTTGTACTATTTTGTTCTGTTTTTGTTTGCAATATCGTAGAACAAGAGTATATGACAATATGACCTGACTACTCCTTAACTAAATTTAAATAGCACAGACTTACCGTCAATTTTCGTGCAGGTATGATCCGTACTCAGATGGCTCAGACTGAAGAAATCAAGACGCCCCTGCAGCAAAAGTTGGACGAGTTCGGTGAACAGCTATCGAAGGTGATCTCGATCATCTGCGTCGCTGTGTGGGCCATCAACATTGGTCACTTCAACGACCCCGCCCATGGAGGCTCATGGATCAAAGGCGCCATCTACTACTTCAAGATCGCCGTAGCTCTGGCTGTGGCTGCCATTCCTGAAGGTCTGCCTGCCGTCATCACCACTTGCCTTGCTTTAGGCACCCGCAGAATGGCTAAGAAGAACGCCATTGTACGATCACTGCCATCTGTGGAGACCCTCGGCTGCACTTCAGTCATTTGCTCCGACAAGACCGGTACCCTCACCACGAACATGATGTCCGTTTCCCGTATGTTCATCATCGACAAGATCGAAGGTAATGACTGTAATCTCCTCGAGTTCGAAATCACTGGTTCCACATACGAGCCAATTGGTGACGTCTTCCTTGATGGTCAGAGAGTTAAGGGATCTGACTTTGAAGGTCTCCACGAAATCTCCACTATTTCTCTCATGTGCAACGACTCTTCGGTTGACTTCAACGAGTTCAAGAACGTTTTTGAGAAGGTCGGTGAAGCCACTGAGACTGCCCTTGTTGTCCTCGCCGAGAAGATCAACCCCTACAATGTCAGCAAGATGGGCTTGGAACGCCGCTCTGCTGCCATTGCCTCGAAACTTGACATGGACACGAAGTGGAGGAAGGACTTTACTCTGGAGTTTTCTCGTGACCGTAAGTCTATGTCATCGTACTGCACTCCCTTGAAGCCTACTCGACTTGGAAATGGCCCCAAGATCTTCTGCAAAGGTGCTCCTGAGGGCGTTTTGGACCGCTGCACTCACGTTCGTGTTGGCACGCAGAGAGTGCCTATGACCAACGCCATCAAAGAGAAAATTCTTGCCGTCACTCGCGATTACGGATGTGGCCGTGACACCCTGCGATGTCTCGCTCTTGCTACCATTGACAACCCTCCGAAGCCTGAAGAAATGAATCTTACCGATTCAACCAAGTTCTACCAGTATGAGGTGAACATGACATTTGTCGGCGTGGTTGGTATGTTGGATCCTCCTCGCACTGAGGTCCGCGATTCCATCAACAGATGCAGAGCTGCTGGCATCCGTGTCATTGTCATCACTGGCGATAACAAGGCCACCGCTGAAGCCATCTGTCGCCGTATTGGCGTCTTCGGAGAGAACGAGAGCACCGTGGGCAAGTCTTTCTCTGGTCGTGAGTTTGACGAGCTGGGACCTGCCGACCAACTGAATGCCGTCATGAACTCCCGTCTCTTCTCGCGCGTTGAACCTTTCCACAAGTCTAAGATCGTCGAGTACTTGCAGAGCCAGGGCGAGATCTCTGCTATGACGGGTGATGGTGTCAATGACGCTCCTGCTCTCAAGAAGGCTGAGATCGGCATTGCCATGGGGTCTGGTACTGCAGTGGCTAAGAGTGCCTCTGAGATGGTCTTGGCTGATGACAACTTTGCCTCCATTGTTGCTGCCGTTGAAGAAGGTCGCGCAATCTACAACAACATGAAGCAGTTCATCCGCTACCTCATTTCCTCTAACATCGGTGAGGTCGTATCCATTTTCTTGACTGCTGCACTCGGTCTTCCCGAAGCCCTCATCCCCGTCCAACTCCTTTGGGTGAACCTCGTCACCGACGGTTTCCCTGCCACGGCTCTGGGCTTCAACCCTCCTGACTTGGACATCATGAACAAGCCTCCTCGCAGGGCTAACGAATCCCTCATTTCTGGCTGGTTGTTTTTCCGCTACATGGCGATCGGTGGCTACGTTGGCGCTGCGACTGTCTTTGCCGCCTCCTACTGGTTCATGTACGATCCCACCGGCCCTCTGCTCAACTACTACCAACTCTCGCATCACATGCAATGCTTGGGAGAGCCTGAGAACTTCAAGGGTGTTGACTGCGGTATCTTCAACCATCCTGCTCCCATGACCATGGCGCTGTCGGTACTCGTTACCATTGAAATGCTCAACGCTCTCAACAGGTAAGAAACTTGAAAAGTAAGGTATTATTTACTTCATGTTGTTTTACAAAGCCTTTTATTCATTTTCACAGCTGTGTTAAGAGTTGACGTTTCCTCTGATTTAAAGTAGCCTGATTAGAGGAGCAATTTAATGATGCCCTTGAATTTTTACCGTCTAAGGTTCGTTATTTATCCTTGTTGTTAGTTTGCCAGTAGCTTTTTCCTAACTTTATGGACAGGGAAAGAACCTCTGCCGAACTACTCTGCACCGAGATTGAGTCAATAGTTCACTAAATTTTCTCCTAAGTTAATAAACGAGCTCCTTGAAGTCTGATACTTGCCTGGAAATGAATTGAAGAGATTATCATTGATAGCTCTTTTGGTGCGTGTGCAGCTTGTCGGAGAACCAGTCTCTGCTTGTGATGCCACCCTGGGTCAATATTTGGCTCCTGCTGGCCATGGCTCTCTCACTCACTCTGCACTTCTTCATCCTCTACGTCGACATTCTTGCCGTAAGTCGCAATTGCTCTTATGTGTGCGTTTCAAATTAAGATTCAACATTGCCGTGTTACTTGCTTCGAATTCTGCTCTAGGCTATTATTTCACCGAGGATTTTTAACTACGTGGTATCATTTGTCACGTTGCAGACGGTGTTCCAAGTGCAGCCGTTGACAAGTGCCCAATGGGTGGCAGTACTGAAGATCTCGATGCCTGTGATCCTGCTGGACGAAGTGCTTAAGCTCTTGGCCAGGAAATTCACTGACGGTGAGAGACGACCATTGCGTCTTTTGTTAGACACCCTCCCAGTGGCGGCAATGTGGCTCGCCTTCGGCCTCTACATTCATGTAGTTGGCATCTAGGCGAAGAATTCTCGTGCTAACATGTGTCGTGTGCTCCCTTGTGGTACAAACAGCTGTGACTAAAGTGTGACATCGGTTAACATTCGTGCTCTGAACAATTGAGATTCCTGAGTCCATCCCGTGTATAGCCGCACGACTGTCAACATCGATGTCGTACTCTCTATCCCGATAGCATACTACTTTATGTTGCTCTCCGTAATAGAAACTAAGTTACTGCTGTTTACTAATCACAAGTGCAGTTTCTAATCATAATTTAAATGTACTGAGTTCTCCCTGAGCTCTTGCCTGAGAACACTAGATCTTTGTCTTCTGGGTATGCGTGTCAACTTCACAGTAAGTGACTTGATGGTGTGAAGTGTGGCTGTTGTGTTTATATTTCTGTCTCTCTCAGGCCTATAGATATTTTCTTGTAGATATGACGATCTAGAGCGGTGTTGGTATCTCAAAAATGGCTTACCTTCTCTGCAAAAATGTATTACGTTACAGGATTATGATGTATGTCTGCTAGTGCGCTGCGATTCGGAGATTCTATTACTTATCAGGAAAATGTTCACGAGATGTATCTCGCATTCGTTGGACCATGTTTTTCGACAGGAATTGAAAGTCTTCGGCAATTTTAAGCCATATCCCACAGTAAAAAATACACTTATACTGTATCATGAAAAAATCCATCAATCTGTTTGGATTTCGAATAATTCATTCAGTTGACTCATCGCTGTTGTTCAAATTGTTAAACACTTGTTTTACTGGCACAAAATTGACAGGTTCCTAGCAGTCTGAGTAATTCACCCAATGTGTTCTGTATTTCACCATTCGTAGTCCGAACAATGTATGATGATGCGATTCATATTCGTATTACATCATACGGGATCTGTTGGCTCCTGCATTGCTTTTCCAAAGTCTTGTGTTGATTTTCTTCATATGACCATTCGTCGTCACGTACGCCATCGAATCTTCAATTTTTTACAAGATCATAACCTGTTTCAAGATTGCAATGGATTGTGTCGAGATCATTATTGAACTCTAACATCGAGAACGTTGCTTTCTTGATAATGTTATGATTCTAGCGTTGGAGCAAAACTGAACTTAACTTGGGGGTTTCGGTCTGTTCTTCAGGTTTTCATTCACGGGTTGAAGGTTCGTGTGATGTTTTGTTTATTACTCAAATTCTATTGCGTTTGCCAGATGAAATTTTCTCTCGGTGGTCATTCACTGCTCATGAACAAGGACGGATGATTTCAGTACAAAAGTTTATTTGCTTTTTACAATGAAATAGTTCCTGTGTGCATTGAAAAGGAAGGTTTCCTTGCTTAGCGTTTGACGTGTGAGTTATCCAACTACCCACTGCATAGACCGCCCTTTATTCAACGCTTGATGCGATTGCTGTTCAATTCCTGCCGTTATTTTTGACCAGAATAAGTTTTTGAGATTGTGTATCTTAGCTGTTCATCTTTGCTACTTGCTTTTTTATTATTTTTTTTTTTTTGCTGCTTATATTGAGTTTTTGTTTATTTTATTTTACTTATTCTTTATTGCTGTTTTCAATGAGGGAAGTTTTCCTCCTCGTTAAACTAACCTCGTCTTTATTCATGGATGTCACAATGAAAAAGATGGAGCAGGGCAACTTTACGTCCAGATTATCTCTTAAACTTATGAGATTATTTTGTAATTCAGTATGATGCTTGCGTTTAGCGTTGTTTAGGTGCGGCACGTTTTTTGACAATATTTCATTATGATGTAAATATGAGGTTGCTGAACAGTTGATGTTAGAGGCAGGACGTGAAGGACTTTCTTGCGTCAAATCTGAATCCGAGATTGAAAGCTCTCTCTCTCTGTCTAACTATCTTTTCTTCTCTTGTGGGACTAGTTTCCTCAACGTGAATGATCACTTCGCTCCCGTAGGCTGGGTTGCTTTATAGGAATTCAGTTTCTTTGAAACGCTTGAGAAAGGTTATGTGTTTTTTTTTCTTTTTGTTGTTATGCGCTCGCAATTTCAGTGCATCATCGTAGAGTAGGTAAAGTTAGTCGAGACACTCTTTTCTACTTTCTAAGATTAAGTAGATAATTACTCACATATAGTAGTTCTCATGGGCGCGTGGAAGTTCCTTTGAGACCGTGACAACTTAGCCGTAGTTTAGCTCGTACTATGAGCGTATGAATATCTGCTAGGGCTTAGTTGGCTAACTGCAATTTAGTTCTTACTACATTCAAATTTGTGAAGATGAACGTATGTTTTCTATCATTTTTGTGTTTCAGTACCGAAAAATGTCTTTTTTATTCATTTTGTTCAATATTGGCAAGGATTGCGATGGAATTAGTAGATTTTCCTCTTTAGTTACCTTGTGAGTCAGATTATTTTTCTTGTTGTTGCAGCATTTAGCTGAGTATGTACCCGACTGTGCAGTTGATCATTGAATATTAATATATAGGTCACTATGAGCACAACGCTAAGCGTTTTGCATATCGGCGCAGGAAGTCGTGTAAGTGTCAAATTATGTCTTTTGTATTTAATTTATTACGTAGCTGGATTCATCGACATCACTAGTTCTTTGAATGTTTTTCATGCGTGCATTATTGGAAGTCATTAGTATCCTTTCCTCGCCAGTTATTTTTTTTTTGCAGGTGTGTTCGGTAATGCCTGGTTTATGTTAACGTTAGTTGTGTTTCTGACCGCTGAGTGAGATGTGCGTGGTGTGATGCTGCCTGCCGTATTGCTCGACCACCCTAAGAGTTATCGCCATCATAGGTTATTTACGTCATCACTTCATCAATGTCAATTTGTTAAATAATAATAACTGTTAAATTAAACATTTTTTCATTGCCTATCACGTGTTACTAACTTAGTTACTCGTGTCTAATGTACGACCATCCCTCTACTAATATGCGCGGGATATCCCTTTACCCTGATGAAATGCGACTCTGAATGCGCGGCGTTCTGACGATAGACCTGTAAAAAGTGACTTGAAAATCACATCTATAAACCAAGCTCAGAACTGGAATAATTCTACCTTTTTTTTAAATTAAAACTGACAGAATCCAGGGGTTTTGGCGTAGTGTAAGGGATTAGAGTAGAAATAGATCAGATATTTATTCCGTTGAATATGAGCTGGATCTCCAACTCTATTTACGAGGAGTCATGTTTTCGTTTTTTTCTGCACGTGTTAGTTGGTTATTAAAACTGTTACATTCCTCTCATTTTTTTCGGAACCTTCAGTTTTGAGCGTTTTTTTATGCTTGAGGGGTTTTTCAGGTAATGTTTTCCTGTTTGAAGAAATTATGGAGGCTAAAGTGTGCTTGTTAAATGGGTTTGGTAAATGCATTTAACCCACCCCAGTAATATTATCATTCGAGGTTCAGGGAACAGCTGTCACAAATATAATCCTGTCACCCTTTTCCTGTGCGAGCATTTGTATAAGTTATCCCGCAAAGAACTTCGTCGAGTTCGATCATTACTCCAAATTTCGCGTCCTGAATATGACTAGTCATCTGAATTGAACTGAAAAAATCTCTGGTATGACAAAAGTGAATTCCCTCCGCTTTATATACTACTCATCTAAATATAACAATAATTTCCTAGGTAATTCGTTTATTGTGCGCTTTTCTCTGACTTAACATACCCGTTTGAGTTTGATATGATTTTAAACATATTCAGTGAAGGAAGAAACCAGTTCCTCAATATCCGAAGATAGTTAAAGCTGGACCGAGCATCACAATCTGCAAGCATTGTTTGCACTAACTTCAATTAGAACTAAAAACCAAGATTTTTCCTCCTTTTGTCACCGATAGAACTTATTACGAGAAATCTTTCCTGTGTTGAGTGATGATTTCTGCTAACGCTTGAGTTTTGAGCAAAATGTTAGCGGCTTAACTGGGAGGAACATCGCACGCTGGGGACTGGAAAGAAGAGGGCGATGTTTTGAGGTAAGTTTCTCCTCACTGAGTAGGATTTCCTAATTTTACGCTGCCTGCATGTTTTCTCGCTTACTCAATACTTACGACAGGCTTGCAGTTAGCCTCTTAAATAAAAGCACAATATTGCAAACCTTCAAGCTTGAAGAATTAAAGGCCTGCTAAATTAATTCTGTAAAATTTTCTTTGCATTATCTGATATTCATTTTACTTAGGCACACAAGTACACAATTGTCTCGTTATTTTTCTCGCATGTAAAACAGTTCGTCTTTCTAAAAAATCTCGAGCATTAAACACAAGGAACCGTCTGACGCGTTTAATGCATGTAAGTATGTGTCTTTACACTGTTTAGCTTACGTTTCACACCGCCTTAGGCTTGTTGATGAACTGAATAAAAGGTGTCAGTTACATAACTAATCGAACTCCATTAATTACCAGCCTCTAATAAATGATCACTTATTTTTCTGCTTGCATGAAGCGTGTTTCTTTATATTATCCGCTAAATTTAATCATCGTTCTTTCTCATTTTCTCGTTTATTTTAACATTCGTCTGTTGTTGTATGCCTGTCTTTAGTTTTTATATTCAGTATGAACTCTCATTTTTCTAACCGGTTTTTCTTCAGATCACTTGGGATTGTTAGCATTGTAATAATGAGTGGTGCGCATGGTCGACTCACAGCTTGCTCAATAATTGTTTGTTTTGTCTACCGTTTAATATGGTGTTTTAATTGTGTTCTCAACTTCTCTTTTATTTATGTGTTAAATTTACATTTCTTATGTTCGTTTAATTCTTACACATATTATTTATTGTACCTTGTGTATAATTTATTTATAATTTATTTTTTATACCTTTTAATTGCGTATGTTTGTGAAAATAATTCATGAAATTTTATTCACGTTTATTTATCCCTTTCTCGTGCTGTAATTTTATCCCCATTGCCCGTTATGTGGTATTTGCCTGTATATTTTGCACCCAAGCCGTAATACTCCAAAATCACCAATTTTACCCTGTAGATAATGTCACCATCAATACTTATGAGTTGGTTCATAATTTTAATGCTTGTGAGGAACGAGATTTTTTCTTGTTCTTTGGGGGCGATCTATTTATTCACTTCGCACCAAGACACTTCGTATGGTATCTTTTGCCCATGATCTGCGTGTGTCCCTATATTATTAACGCTCTCATATGAGTACTGAAAGCTTTGTGCATCGAAAAGAAAATTGTAATTCTTAATCAATATATACCGCATCTCAATTATCATTATCTCAATTATATTATGCATTTACTGTCGGCAGTTAAGTGTTATAACACGACATTTGTGTTCATGCTGTAGTTAAAATTTATTTTATGCTGAAGATATATTGCTGCACAAACCGACGGTACTCGTATGTTGAGGCCCTGACAGGTTAATCCCAAAATGGCAGGTTGCTTCTGTAAATAAGTGCAATTTTTGAGTTGTTTGATCCCTCTTTCCTTCAGTACTCGAGGGTACCGGCCACGTCATTCCCCAGTGAACAAAATATCAGCTAAGTTGGCTTCCATGAGGTGAGTGACCAAACGTTACGTTTTGTTCCTAGGGAGAAGGAAGCCGGGGAATTTTTTTTTATCAAAACTGACAAAAACTAATGCTCGAAATCGTGCTGAACTTCGATCCATGAATAAAAAAACAACGCGTCTATTTTAATGTGCATTGATTTATGGGGGGAATTGGGTTTCTTTGTTTTTGTTTGACATGACCTCGTGGTCGGCTAGAGAGCTAAAGCTTTAGTGCTGAAAATGAACATTTTTATGCACCTCAATGCACTATTTCTCTTAAGTTCTGAACACGAGGTTGACCAAACTTCCTTGTACTGAAGTCTTTCGTTGTATTTCAGTACCGGAAGAGATCATCAGAAAATGGTGAGGACATCAACATGAGATCAACGTCTGCATGCCAGCCATGCTACAAGACGCCCCGACGACGCTGATGTCAGGAACATATCACCGAAATCTGTTAATGGTATTCAGTATCATCGCGTCTGACCAGAAATTTTAGCGTGTTAAACAAAAAAAACGGCCATTTTAAAATATAAAGCAGGTTAAATCGTATTCCGTTGAGAGTTGTTGATCTTTCATTTGAGTTTTGATTGAAAAATGGCTTGGTAATGAGGATTCTGCTGAGCATTTCTTCTCGCTGTAGATACGCGGATAAGAAGACGCAGCGGCAGGACTTGAGTAAATTTTGTCTGCGGTAGACGGTTTTTCTTTCAACAGAAAAATCTGCGCCTTTATGTGTGAGATGTTCATGTGCCGCTTGAGAAGTTCTGTAAAATATTAAGGACTAGGGAAGGTATTAATTTATCTATCATGTGTGAACTCGTGAAAAGCGTGCCTGACTTGAGTGCAAGTGTGAAAGTTTTACTCCATTTGTACAATTGTTTCACAACACACCTAAAACAGGAGAAATTTTCATAGCACTTTTATGCATATACATTGATGTAAATACACACCGGCCAAATAAACTTTTAAATATTTGCTTTTTCGAGAGTTCGGCATTTAAATCGTCCTAATAAACACGCATGCGAGGATTGCGTTTAGACGCGATACGAGGCTCGATAGAATAGAGTCGCGTTGTCCTACAAATACCGAACATGTTGCGCCGTTTTCAAACATTAATTGTAAATGGTTGCGTATAAGTTTTAAGATTGACACATACAAAGAGCAGTTAGTGAAAAATACTGTTAAGCATACATGAGTGCGCGAGTGTTGTGCGTGTTGCAGTTGCTCATGACAAGACGCCATTGCTGCGCAAGCGGCGTGCACGTTGTGGTGTCGCTTCTCCCTCTCTCTCTTAGTCTTCCCATCGTTCCCATGCTTTGAGAAAGTTTGTTATAAGCGCGTTAGCACACCTTGTTGTGTATAGTTCTTCCCGATGGGTTAGGAGAAACTTCGCTGTAGTTTTATACAAACTTCACGTCTCCAGTCGTAGCTTATTTTTTCTCTTATACGTCTTCTTCCGCTTCATGTTGTTAAATCTCCCATTCTGCCTCCAGGTCTTATTTACCTTACGATCAAAACCCTGTAATTAGTGGCATACGAACCAAATCGTTGTTTTCACTCTTCCTAATTGTGAATTTTCTTTGTTCTGTTCATTAGTTTTGTTGTCTATACGATTCCTTATCCTCATACGCACTTGCTTTTTCCTTTCTCGCTTATAAGTTTTTCGTCTTGACGATCGCGGTGTCGCTTACTGAGAGGCGAAGGCGGAGTTAGATTCTCACGTTGCTTCGCTGGCAACGGCGGATGGAGATGACGTCCGCTGCCATGCTTGTCTGGCAACGTGAAAATGTTTCACCTTTTCTGGGTTAAAAGCGACTAAATCTCCATATGGGGTACGAATAACTACCTACGACTCTCATTTGCTACAATTTCCACTAAAAAGTACTTTCATTACAGTCTGTCATCACATGTTAAATTTTGCCTACAATGTCGAGAGTTTCGGCAATTGATTGAAGTCCTTAGGGCAGTAAATAGCCTTATTATTGACCAAGACCCTTGTCGGTGAGGGCAAAAACAAAAAATAATTCTTCAACTTTTATTAGCGAATAATTATTACTAAATAAAACCCACCATATTTAATTGCAATATTTCATCAACCATGTCACATGAGCTACAATCTTCTATGCCGTGAATCCAAATCTACGTACAATATAAATATTAAATTAACATTTTTTTATTGCACCTGTTTTGCTTTATTGATCATGATGGAACTGATACATGTTTATTCTACATGAAAGGCATAATTTTTGCTGAATAAGAAATACGTGTTTGCATATAGACACTTGCTTTAAGCTATCAATTCCAAAAAGAGAGCTTTGCTGTTAATTAAAAACTCGCTTCTTGGAACTTGAATGTATAATATAATCGCATAACACGTATTAAACTCGACAAGTGCAAAGATTTACGGAGAAAACACCGTAAGCTGATCATTGGTAGCCAGATTCAATAACGATAGATAAAAACGGGCTCTGTAACATCTTACACCATACATAATTCAGAACATAATAGTATCGATATGTAGGGAGTTCTCAAACCACACTAGCTAAGATCTTCGTTGAAAGAGATTCGTTAGTCACAGATAAACTCCTAACTTCATTTGCGAATAATAGTACATTTAATTAATTTATTTCAATAATTTGGTTTTTGTTTCGGTATATTACTTGCTAGTAAACTAGTCGCACTTGCTGCTCAGCAACAGTACTATTTCAATGCAAAGAAAATGTAATGGTCTCAAAAAAATTTCACAGGAATAATGTCGACATGAATTGAATATATGATAGAATGTGATAGAATCAATAACATATTCATGTGATAGAAACAATAACACATTGTCGCGTAAAAAGTTTCTAACTACAGCGTGCACGTTAGATCATTTATTAATTCCTGCCTATTTGATAGTTAATACCTTGTTGACAACAGCTAAAATTTGAGATGTTCATGAGCAGTAACAAGACAAATCGGAAGATGAACAGCATTTCACCAGGAACGTTGTGCGATAGATTATTCCCGTTCATTATTTCTAATGAAATTGTCATTAGTAAAATGATAATAAAATTTATGCAGTATACATAGCATCATCACACACAATAGAGTTTGATTCTTAACGTTGAATGCGTCCGGCTTAAATCGTAAACAGCATAAGCAGGATCACAATTATAAACAATACTTGAAATGACTAATCACTCAACACAAATGAAACTTAATCTAGTTCTTCAAAAAACTCGCACAGCCCAGGCAGGTCCCGAGAAACAGGCACAGAAGTAAAGGCGTGGATCAGCGGCAAACTTCTCAGGTACTGGCCAGTCGTACGTAACCTGTGAACGGCAAATTAAATTCACTGAGATTGTACAGAACTAAAAACGTCAATAAGATGTTATTTAACTCACTAGTGTGACCGTGGACGCAGCCGTTGAACAACACCTAACGTTATAAGACAACTTTCAGATAATATAATGAAAAATCTGAACTTAAATTGCTCGTCTCTTTAGGAGAAAAAAATTATATACCTTATGGTAATATAAATGATATATGAATCAGCCGCCATATTTCCGGGTCTATAGATGAACACATGGAAAACGCTTCAAGACATTGACCACTAGGCATCATCTTCATGTGCGCAAAAACTCTCTAAAATGTTGGTCACTCACCCGGTAGCCGGCACACTAACTCACCCGTTGCCGGCACACCAACTCACCCGCTTGCCGGCACACCAACTCACCCGCTTGCCGGCACTCCAACTCACCCGCTTGCCGGCACACCAACTCACCCGACCAACTCACCCGCTTGCCGGCACTCCAACTCACCCGCTTGCCGGCACTCCAACTCACCCGCTTGCCCCCTGTCTCCGTATGCCGGCACACCAACTCACCCGCTTGCCGACACACCAACTCACCCGCTTGCCGGCACACCAACTCACCCGCTTGCCGGCACACCAACTCACCCGCTTGCCCCCTGTCTCCGTATGCCGGCACACCAACTCACCCGTTTGCCGACACACCAACTCACCCGCTTGCCGGCACACCAACTCACCCGCTTGCCGGCACACCAACTCACCCGCTTGCCGGCACACCAACTCACCCGCTTGCCCCCTGTCTCCGTATGCACGCGGAGTCTCGAGGAACAGCTCGTGGGCTCGACGATGACGGTCACGACGCTGCCCTGCGACAGGCAGGGCAGTTTCATAGAACGCGAGTCGCCGTCCACTATGACACTGCCTGAAATAAAAAATTAATTACAAGCGCATTATCGTCTTGCGATGACAAATTATTTCCCTTGCTTTAAATGAAATATAATACGAGCTTACGATTGTCAGCGGCTGGTAGGTGGAAACTTCCTCTCACGAGATCCACTCTTGGCTCCGGTTTAGTAAACTTTGAACATTGTTTATTCAGCTTACTTAGCTTTCAATTTTCGTTAAATTGGGTACTGTATCAGCTGCAAGTTTTTTTTCGGGCAACAGTGCGTTCATGGCAACCAACAAAAGTGAAAAAAATATGTACAAGTAAGATTCTTATCCAAGTACCTCATCCGGAACATTTTCCAAATATATTATGTAATCGCTCATGACACGTGGTTCAAGCGGCTACAATATTGGTAACCAATACTGCATTTCAATATACTATCATTTACTCCCATTTGTTTGGGCTATCGGGAATTGCACGTCTAATGAATATTTTAATGGAAAAGAATTTGCATCACTACCCAATAAATTTAATTCTCACATAGCTGGATTACTTATTTTATTTATGTTTGATAACACGAACGTTTGAGATAGTGATTTCGTTCTTTATTCGTTACATGCAACGACGTTACAATTGATTTGATAGGTACTTATTAGTCTAATTAGATGTTAGGCGTTTTCTTGCGATCATTACATTGCAATTTTTAAATTCTTCACTGACCGGTAGCGCTGAGGAAAATTGTCCCAGGCGCGGTGAGAGCGTCTGGCGACGCCAGCGCCTGCCAACTGATAGCCATGCCTTCGTCACAGCAACCTTCATTGCCTGATACGATCTGTCAAATATGTCGAAAATCCTCAAAATACTGGCAGCACTTTGAAACCCAAATTTACTTTGTACTTTGAAACCCAAATACTGGTAGCACTTTGAAACCCAAATACTGGCAATACTGAGAATAAAAGTTCGAAATTTGCAATTATTTACTGATTTACGCCAAGACAAACTGCTCCTGACTGTCCTAGTGATAAAATCGTTATGATTAACTAAATTTTGAACATGAAAATATAAAGCACCTGCAGAGAGATTGAGTACCCGGGCATAACTTGTGCAGCAGCAGAACACAAGACCGATGCACTGCTGTTTACTTTAGTCGCCAGTCTTCCATCGTCTGCTACTCGCCAGTCTTCACTATCACCCCAGCCTAGGGGTGACAAACGCTTAAAACTGATTCGGCTGAACTGAACTCAGCCACAAAAACTGTCATCTTTTAATAACAAAATGCATCAGGTTAAAGAAGCATTTGGATGGATTTCAATTTGGTTTAAATGGTAATAAAACAAATTGTTTTCCAATAAACATAAGTTTTACTCACGGTAGTGAGGTAAACTAGTGCTGGATTGTCGTGGCAAACTCCAGGCACAAACATCGGCACAAACTTCAGTAGTGGTGGATCGTTCAACAGGCTTGGCAGGTCCTGCACCACACACTTTACAAGTCCTAGCCAAATTCTTCTGCAACAATCATAAAACTGGTCAAATTTATAAGCTTGAATTTTTTACACATGATGAATTTCAGTCAGTGGACTGAAATTAAAAGTAAAAAACACGTTAAAGACAAAATATATTGAAACTTGAATCCAAAAATTATGTTACTTCATCAAAAGCATTTCAAAACATGAATTCTTCCATATGAATTTGGTTGTGTTACATATAATACTATACGTGTAAACTTTAGAGAATAGAGGGGGATGTACGGTAGTTTTAACTTTGCTCAGTGAATAAAAGTCACCAAAGCAAACTGGGGAAATGGGGGTCCTTTTACTCCCAAATCGATGTGAGTAATTTCAGGAATAAATAATCACCATCAGTGACAGATTTTTTTTCTTTGAATGGACGTAAAAATGTGAAAACCAGACTATAATACAAAATTATTTAAAACTGTGCTTCAAAACAGTTGGCCTACAAAAAAAACAAAACAAATTATCTCAGTACGAACATCAATCAAGTGGGCGACTCTGAGCCAATACTTGGCACCAGTGCACAACTGCTGCAGGAGGAAGCTGTCATCAGGGCCAGTGTACACAGTGCGGTAGTGGGCAAACTCTAATTCTTCGTCAGCACCGCTACATTGAAGGACAAACTCACGCTGTTCCTCATCACCTTCGTCATCATCCACTTCTGATGATATCTGGAATAGATATATGACAATGGGCATCATTTTAGTAAAAAACGCACCTTTATCTTAGTTCCACCAATAAAGTTTTATGAGATTTTACAATACTGCAACATCATCCACTTCTCATATCTGGAATAGATACATGAAAATGGGCATTATTTTAGTAAAAAAACCCACCTTTATCTAATTTCCACCAATAAAGTTTTATGAGACTTTACAATACTGCAAGTACATAAAATACTAACATAATTGAAGCAACAAAAACACTTTTATTAAGATGCAAGATAAATTTTGTCTCACAATGCAAGATGAATGTGATAATAACTTTAAGCCTGATGATATTCACATCACTTCAATTATATCCTTGCATTTGAGAGTGAAATAAATTGTATGCCACTCATTAACAAATATGAAGTAAGGCTAAATCTAAGACAGACAAAAAACGAAAAAAAACACCACAAAAGTCTGACCTCTTCCCAGTGCACCATAAGGGCTCCAGGTTTTTCAAAAACAGAGGTGATCTGCACCGGTCCAAGCCACCGCACTTCACCATATTGCTGTAGTAGTGATGTGAGTAAGGCAGGAATAGAAGCAGTGAACGTAACGCTGACTGAGACTACACCATGCAGATCTGGCACACTGGGCAGGCTGAGTGACAGAAAGCCTCAATTAATAAACTTATGCCTACTAAATTATAACTATTTCTTGCTACTTGAATGCATTTTCATATCACTGGCTAGCAGTTCTGGACATTTGCAAAATTTTCGTTATCCTAACTTGAACTTTGTGAACAATAATATTGAGGAGAGCTGTATGTAAACTCGGTGCTTGATGTCAAATATTTAATTTATAACTAAAATCTACATAGTATGTTTCTAAACAAACCCTCAGTAAGCCAAGGCTATCTCAGATACCAAAGACCTGCTTCTCTGACATTGTATATTCACAAGTATGCTATCTTATAAGATAAAATCACAGCCATTACCATCCTGCTGGGTTTATCTAATATTTAGTACAACATGCAGCTTCTGGTTATTAAAAAAAATTCAAGCCACTGAACTATGAACGGATTTTTCATGAACACATCAAAATCAATAAATAAATATTTTAAAAAATCAATGATTCTCACCAATTTCTAAGTGCAGCTTGCTTTTGAAATTTTGAGATCGATTCTTTGGTGATCATAACATGAGTATTGCTGGAGCTGTGTTTGCCAGGTTCATAACTCCTGCCAGCTTCAGAAGACAGCACCTGGCCATGTTCTAGCAGTTCTTGGGAGCTTCTCAGGGACTCAGAGAGAAGCTTTTTGCAGTCAAGAAGAGGTGACAGTGCCTCTTCTTCCACCTCAATTATAGTTCAACTAGTTTAAATCAAATTGCATTCAATAAATTCTCTGTGCTCTTAGGGATGAGGAATAAAATGTTCCTAAAATGAAAATTTACTTTTGAACAGCCTTACCCTCTGACCCTCTTACCCTCCTTACTTTTGAACAGCCTTACCCTACTTGACCAAGCTAAATGAATATTTTTAAATTTATAATCAACCCATTTTAAGCACAATAAAATTTGGGATAAATAGATGGTTCTGCTGAAGGTATACATCAAGTGACAAATATTCAAAATTTAAATAATTTTATGCACCAATAAAATTCCAGTGATTTATTATGTATTTGAATATTATAAATGCCAACTCACTTGTTCAAGTTTTGCAAGAAGTTCTTGTTCTCTTGTACTAACAACTTCGAGAAGCAGTTGCCTTAGCTTTGAGCATGACTCTTTCACTTGTTTCCTGCTAGTTGTGAGGCTCTCAGTTACCTGCAGGAAAATGTAGTTTCTAAATGAGGCACCAATTTAATAAATTTTTATTCATTTGAGTGGAAATTTAAAGTGAATAATTTATACACCAATGGAAAGTGAAAGATTCAAAACTTATATTCAAACATGGAATTAAGCAGCCATGGCAGCAATAGTGGAATCAAATCTTTTTAATCGGTCACATCTTTGGGTAGGATGCTTTTAGTTTAGCTTACCGTTTAGAGGTTTGCAAGGGTGACATGTAGAACATTTATGTAAGGGAGCCATGTTTAACATTTATACATAATTAAAAAAAACTTCAAATTTTTCTCTTTTCATTGGTTCATAAATAATTCACTTTAAATTTGTACTTAAATGAATACAAATTTAATAAATTGGGTCTAACATATAGAATAACCCAGTATCTTAGAAAAGTATGCATGAAACAGAAAGTTAATTGCATCAATATTTTAATGGGGAATTTAATGCCATTCAACACATACCCATCATTTGATACTTGATTGCATAATATTGATTTAAAAACAAATATTCAACAAGTATTCTAATGGCACTCGTCACTTAAGTTGCTACATAAGTAAACAGCAACAAATGAAAAATAACAGAACATAAAAGTACTGCCATGTTTTAAGTTTGAGAATAATGATTTGGAGAAAATGATCTTCTATATTCTTTCACAATATCAACACTAAATTTTAATAAAAATTAAAACAGCCTGATATTTACCATGCATGCAGTTTCATCAAGAATTAGGAAAAATTTGATCAACTCAATACAATTCAACTAGGTATAGGTATATTTGGTCATGGAAACTGTTACCATGAATTTAATTTATGTTCAAATTATCAATTGTTCAGATTTCTTGCTAAAACAAATGGCATTTTCTACATAATGAAGACTGCTCAGTGTTGGCTGTGTAGCAGTATTAGTTATTACTATCAATGCTTTTGTCTTGCTGAAAATGCATCATTTACAAAAGTATTTAGCCCTAAAAACTTAAAAGCAAAGAAAATTTGACATAAATTCACATCTTTATAGAAAATTTTCTTCTATAAAGCTCCATCATCGGCTTGTAGAATCTAGAATTCATATTAAAAAATCTCAAATTAATACAATTGAAAGTCACAGAACTGAAATTAAAATCTAAATTTACAAATAATAGACAGAGCACAGAAAAACCTATCTATTCAAAATTTCAAGGGGATAGGAGCCAAAAGCTGAATTCAAACGGGGCCCAAGTTTAAAAATGTACAAGTATTCTAAAATATGCAGATCTGAAGTATACTGAAGGTGGAAACTAACACCCTAAAGTCACTGTCAGAAACAAGACAAGTGCGAAACATCACACTGCTCAGTAACCCTAGAATAAAGATTGAGTGACATCATCCCAATGTACCCAGATGCACATTGTGCACAACAATATTGACAAACCAAGGATGATCACATATGAACAGGGAGCATATCCCAAAAGAAAGAACCTATTTTAAAATTTTGTTTACCAGCACAATATGACAATTGATATTAAGGAAGTATCTATTGAAGAAGACTTTCAATTCTCTTGCCATAGCTTTGGACCTGGCACCAAAGTATTGAAAAGAACAATACACAATGTTCCTGCTATTGCGCTTGGGAGCAACCTCACTGTATAGCTTTGACATTAAAATCTTGATTTTATTTCTGGCAAGTTTGGTGTTTACCCAAATCAAGAAATTAATGTCAAATCAATACAGTGAGGCTGCTCCCAATCACGATAGTAGGAAAGTTGTTTATTGTTCATGTTCCATTTTACATTTTTAAATAGATAGGTTTTTAGTGTTCTGTCTATTATTTGTAAATTTAGATTTCAATTTCGTTGTGACTTTCAATTGTATTAACTTGTAATTTTTTATATGAATTATAGATTCTACGAACAGAGAATGGAGCTGGAATTTAACATATTTTCTATAAAGATATGAATTTGTGAAGAATTTTCTTTGCTTTTACCTTTTAGTAAACTTGCAACTTAACTTCAGCAAACAAGTGGCATCAATTATTTAGCCCTATATATATATATATATATATATAAAGGCTATATTCAATTTGAGTTGTAAACATATAGAACTTACCTGATTTTCAGCAAGCAGCAAACTCTTCAATAGATCAAGGAGTTCATCATTATGTCTTTGAAGGTGTGAAATAGAATCCTGCAAATCCTCTTGTATTTTTGCTTTTATTTCCTCTTTATATGATACAATATTTATTACATCCATGGCAATGGTTCAGGACTTGATTAGGCAACAAAATGATAGTCAACCATTAGGAACATTAAGGATTGGTAGTCACTTGCTATAGGTACTTACTAGTCTATATACTACATACAAATACTTTCTTTTAGAATATTTCAGACTCAAATTACATTACAATCTGTTTGGACGTCACCTATATAGCAATTTTTGCTAAGTAAATAGAGGTGAAGCTGATGAAATACAAATTTTTGTAGCCAACATGAAGACAAGCACAGCAGAATGGGTTTCTACAAAATGAACAACAAAACTGGTACATGAGCAATGCTGCATCCTACAGTCCACCTGGTGCATGGTTAGGAAGCAGGGCAGCTATGTTCAACTAATTTGGAGTAGAATTGAATAATTGTGCCCATCCATATGATATCCCCCCATCTTTCAAAGTTTTATATTACATACCACACCTGCAACACCGCACCACAAATTCACTTCAGCACCTGCAACACAACAATACAAATTATCTTCAGCGGTATAAAATATTACCTGTTCCATGTTGAGCAGAGCAATGTTCCAGTGTCCAAGTGATTTTAAAGTTCTAGCTTTCACAACCAATGTTTCTGACCTACAAATATTACAATCCCTGTATACATTGTATTTTTAAACAGAAACCTAGTTTAAATGCAGCCTTCAGCTCTTATCCCATTGAAATTGTAAATAGATAGGCCTGTCACCTCATGCGTATCTGTTGTTTTTTCTTTTGGAAATTTTGGTTTTTATCTTCCATGTGAATTTTAGTTTTCTAATTGATTCTGCTTGTCTTATAGGTTTTAAACTGATGATGGAGCTGGACTCTGAAACATTTCCATTCTCAAGAAATGAATTTTTTGGCAGATTTCTTTGCTTTCAAATTCTTGTATACAGATGACAAGTTACACAATGATGATGTAGCAAAGGTTTCAATAAAAATAATTAAACCTTTATAAAAAACTGATAATAATGAAATGCAAGAATTTCAACTGTCTAAATTTAAACCTTGGCTGGTGCTGGCCCAGAGACCTAATCCTACAGTACTACCTAGTACTTACTGCCTCTTCTCAAAAAGAGAAGGACTTGGAAGATGAAGGGGAGGGGCAAGAAAGCCAGCCAGGTTCCTGACACTGGTGGCTGGACAGACCTTTTGCTTTGGATTTGGGGCATGGTGACTCAGAAAAAGGATATTCCACAGTCTGGAATTTACAACGGCCATCAGCAAAGCATCACATAGCCATTTTGTTAGAAGGAAGGAGAAAGGGAGAACAAGCCAGGTAGAAGTGACATTAAAAGAGAGGCTAGAGGGGTATGAAAGTTTGTGTTAACATGTTAAGTGCAGCATGACCCACTGTTGGGTTGTACCTCCAGTTAAAAATACCAACGCCCTGAATATGACATAGCTGCACTTACAGTGTTAAGGGGGAGATGAAGAAAAAACGAGGGTAAGAAAAATTCAAAAGGAAAATTTATTTGGTTTATTATTGCTAAATCCCATTTATTGCACTGTATAGTTTACATCTATATTAGCTGTAGGAATCTTAGGCCCTGAATGACTATTTGTGTTCTATTAAAATATTGATGCAGTTATTCTAATTTTATTATTGCTTTCTTTCTTCCTTGCACCCTCCTGGCCATGGCCTCCACTTTTGTCAGCCTCCGCTTCTCCCTCATTCTCCATGCACTCTCCAAATTTAAATATATAATATCACAAATTGTGATATTTTAAATCTGGTACCGTACGAGGTGAGGATATTGTCAATAATAATATATGTACTAGAAGATCCACATATACCTACCATATATGTGGATCTATGTGTATATCCTCATATACACATGAGAAAAATATATAGGCCACATGAAAGCCAAAGTGTGGCCTATATATTTTTTAAATATTTTATCAATAATATTGCCTCCTCTTTTAACGTAAATTGCAAGCTTTTTGCCGACGATGCTGTTCTATATGTCTCAAGAAGTTCCTATAGTGAAGCGAGTGATTATGTTTCGGAGCTAACAGCAAATTTGTCTACATGGCTCTTAAAAAACAGGCTTGTGGCTCATACAGATAAAACTAAGTTGATGCTCTTTACTCCCAGACCTGTTACAATGGCGTTTCTGGTATGTCCTCGTCATCCTCAGGCATGTCAGAGTCAGTTTCTGACATGGTCTTGATCTTCTTGGACACACACAGCTATTAAATTATATTGACAAGAATTTTGAACATACAAATAATAATATAATGACAAAGATAATAAACACAAACACACTCACACAACACAATGACTTTGTAACAGAAAGGGACACAGTTAATGCAGAATACAATACAACAGGAATCGGAGAATACAATACAACAGGAATACAACAGGAATAGCTAACCAAAATTTTAGTTTTGCCTACTAGAATATGAAAAATTAAGCTGGCTCGCACGCCTTTTCCTACCTATTACCTCTTCTCATGGAGAGAAGAGGAGGGGGGAGGGGCGAGAAAGCCGACCGGGTTCTTAAACTTAAAGTCAAACACTTAGCTCAGGCTGCTCAGCCAGTACAGTATACTCGCCAACTCGCGGTGTACAGATAAGTGTGATTAAGAATTAAAAAAAATAAAGGTTTGTGGAAATATGAATATTCACAATAATGACGTTAGTCACAAATAGACTTTGATACTTTAATTTCTGAGCAAAATCAATTGAGTTTACTGCATGAACCCCACTCTCACGGGTACAGAGCACAATCGTAAGGTGTTTACCGTATGAACGCAGCTGACTCTCTCGTCTCCATCTCTATTTATTCTCTCCGTCAATACAATCACGATAAGAAAGCTTGATACTGCAATCCGCATATTCATCAAAAACATATCTTCTGAAACTCGGAGGAGTGAGCAAATTGGGGGCTTAGGAGAAACCAAGAATTTATTGATGATTGAGTTAACGCTTATGAAAGATAATTTTCGAAAACGTTTGATGTAATTCTAGGCGACAAATGTGGTGTGGTGTATGAGTTATGTGGGATACGTATGACACTTAGAGTAATTATATGCCTTCATATGAAGGCCAAAATATGAATTCGTTCATATGAAGGCCGGCCTGAACGAATGAACCCGCCTGCTGGACGAAAGGGAGCCAGTAGATGCAGTGTACGGTGTACCTCGATTTGCCAAGGCTTATGACAGTGTCCCACATGAGCGGCTGTTGCGTAAATTGCATTTTTTGGGAAATTAGAGTAATGTACTCAAATGGATCAATGATTTTCTAGTAGGGAGGCGACAACGTGTCAGTATTACTGGGTCCGTATCAGACTGGGCTTCAGTGAGCAGCGGCGTGCCACAATGAAGCGTTCTCGGGCCTGTTTTATTCGTCGCGTTTATAAACTATGTCAGAAGCTTTGTCTAGCGTGTGCTCGATGTATGCTGACGACGTACAAATTTATAATACAGTGAAGAATACGTCGCAAAAAGTACAGTTGCAAGGTGATCTTGACAAGTTGGTTGATTGGGCTGATAACTGGCAGCTGCTTTTTAACGCTGACAAATGTAAAGTAATCCACCTTGGCAAGAATAATGAACAGCAAGATTACAGTATGAGAAGCCACGGTTGCAGCAACAGATAAATGATGTCGAAGTCAACAATGGAAAAAGGTTTATGAGTTAATATCGACAATGAGTCGAAATTTTCTGAACATATTTAAGGTCAAGTTGATTAAGCCAATAAACGGCTTGGACTGATCAGACGCTCATTCGAGTTCCTCGATGCAGAAGCGCTGAAGCAGTTGTTTGTTGCTGTCGTGCGCTCGAACTTAGAGTTTGGAAACGTCGTGTGGTCACCGAAACTTGAAAAGGACAAAAATTTAGTCGAAAGTGTTCAAAGACGTGCAACAATTAAGGATAATTCCGGGCTTGAAAGGCAAGTCCAATGATGAAAGATTGAAGATTATGAAGCTTTCAAGCCTCAGTTATCGACAGGATTACTAGAATTTGAAACAAGAACCAACACCAGGGGCTACGTCTATAAACTAAAAAAACTGCGTTGCAACACATCCATGCGACAACATTTCTTCTCGCTTCGAGTCACCGACATGTGGAACAGCCTGCCTGATAGCATCGTTGACACTGCTTCAATTTTGCTTTGCTTAACCGCCCGACCTCCTTGCCGATTCTGACCAGAAACTGGCGCACAGAGCTGGGATCGAACCCGCGCCTGCCTCTCTGCGCCAATCTTTGTAATCTGAAATTTTAACCCTATGCCACCCTGCCCAGTTGTGGGATCTCGCTATTCTAGCCTCAAAGTTCATGAACACATTTTAAAAGGACACCCACAAACTTTAAAGGTATCAGGAGGGTTTTTCAAACAAGGAGAGATGGCTTTTCAATTTTATTTCTTAGATCTTGACATTTGAGGGAGGCCACTAGAAGAGTAGCTCAGACCAAATACCTGCCAACGTTACATGAATCAGTACACAGAACACATACATATCATAGGTCGTATCAGCTGACAACATGACAGTTATGGAAAGACAGGGTTCCAAAAGTCGGATCACTTGTGAATCAAGTCACGAAAAGTATAAGAATTGGCAACATGCTATGGGCCTATTTCTTCAGTGCCGACACTTCTATTCTATCCGGGTAGCTGAACACTGCGACAGGAGCTATCGTTCGGATCTACGCCTCTCAAATCTGTTTCTCTCTGCTATGGTTAATCACGTTGAACTGTGCGACTACCTGTGTCAGAGAGTGATTTTATGAGACTTGATTTCACCTGCGGTTGTTCGAATATAAGAATTTTGGAATCGCTGCATTTTTCCGAACGGAAATCTAGCCTTAATAGTGCCTGCAGTTTTTTCCTCTTAAAATTTTAGTCCTTGGATCTCTATATTCCGTCGTCCTTTTTTTTCATTACCTGTCTTTTTATGTGTAAGCGAGATGGGAGCAACGTCATATATGTGAAAGCCATCACAGGCACTCTAAAGTACGATAGTTAATAATTCTCTGTCAATACGGAGCACAATATATTATTGAAGCGAGACGAAAGTACAGTTAAGAAGAATCAGCGCGATTGCGTCGAAACTAAAAATGGACGTCTGTTATCGATACAGTCACGACCTGGCGACTTGTACTACTCTATATTCTCGCACTACTGATCAAACTTTTTCAGGTAATGTATACGAGGTTAGAGTGATATATGTTCAACTTAGAATTTGTTTAGAATGCTTCCTTCTGTCTTATTAATTTTGGTCACGTTCAAATTCGCACTTGTAGCAAGCATAATATAAAACGTTACCAGCGTTGAGAGAACAAAAGTCTCCGAGAGAAGCTTTCGCAAGCAGATGTTATCCAATAGAATGTGTAGATAAATAACAATGCAGAAGAAATCTTATTTATTCAATCATGAGATCAACAAATAAACGACAGAATTACTTCAGAACCGCATATCAAGTCATACTATAAATGATATGATTCGTCATCAAATATTAGCAACAAGCAGTCAGAAGCTAGTTTTGTGGCATAAGTTGGAAAATTTTAAGCATTTAATGTAAACACTATAATTAATTACTATTGCACCAATCACATAGGACTCAATAACAAAATATTTCATGCAATCAGAAAAAAACAAACGCAGCATAAAGATGCTTGTGAATTGATTATAAAAATAGAAGCGAATTGATCATATTGAATTTTAAAGTCCGTTCAATCCGGGAGACCCTCGGCTGAAATGTAGTCGCCAGAAAAGCTGTCTGGTGAAAATTCCGTTTAAACTGACGCTACTAATAGTTTACTGTATTCAAATCCTTTTCTGTGCTTGATTTACTCATATCATGACTGAAAAAAATGGTTACCAATTAATGTACTCACGAGCGAACATACATAAAAATGACAAAACTACCAAAATGTCAATCCCGTATTATAAGTGTATCTCTACCACACGAAATGTTAGAAACTAAACTGTACGTCATTCCCATGCCATAAACAGAACACACTAAACGTTACAATATGTATATTATCGTAAACCAAATAAACGCACTCTTTCTGAATTAGAGTAGAAATAATTTCTTACGCACCGTCCTGTTTATGAATCAAAATACTAAGCTTTTTGAGAATCTCTCTCATCCGGTGCCCGCTGATAGATTGGTTCAAAACAATGTCCATTTGCATCATTATCGCATGACACAAAAGGATACGCAAAAATTTTTTACACCTTATATCGAGCCAGTATTGCCTCTCAAAACACAGTTTTCGACATTATGAGGTAAAACAGAAAGCTATACTACCCCCGTTAGATACTTCATCATCTATGAAAACTACCTCGACGTCTTGTTTTACTCCCCCCTCCCTATGTGGTTGATTGTCATGGAAAATAGATGAGAAACTGCAACAATATTCAGCTTTTGAACGTTGTATTACCCAAAACCATGAAAAAGTTCAGATCAAGCTTTTGAAATCAATGGATGATAAATTTAACTCGAGTATACTTGCTGCTTTACAAAATGGCAACATATATTTTATAGATCTGCCGCTTCTTAAAATTTATTCGCATAAAATTCTACTATCATAAATAAAATAAATGCCCATAATGATCATTTGCTACATGCTCATTTCATATCTTACGCAACATTCATCGCATAAAATTATTAATTTCTTAAGGTTCAGATTGATAACAGCTTGTGAAGCGTCAAATTCGTGTCCTTTTAAACAGTGATTTACTGCTTTATTTAGCCTCACGAGGTTCCCACTAGGTGTCGAAGAAGATTCCGTCGGCAGAAGCTCAGCAGACGAATGAGAACAGTGATTAGTAGAATCAGAACCGTTTGAATCCCGTGATAGATTATGGCATCGCCTATTAGCCTGTAGCCTCGTTTGTATACCACTTGAAGATGCTTCTCCGTCATTAGTTCGATTTTCAGAGAGACATTTAGACTTCACTTTACTTAAGCGCTCAGAGCGGCGTTTAGGTACTATCCATTTTATTTCAATGGTATCGCTTTCTTCTGTGCTATCATGTTCCTCATTACCTCTTATGTTCTTTTCCGGTTGCAGCCAATCTTCAAAAGATTCTTCATCACAAAACTTTATTACAGAATTTGCTCTATTTTTTACTGGAACTTTGGTATTGCGATCTGTTAGCCGTGTATTACCATGTTCGCTCTTGGTTGCCGTCGAATTTTGTGATAAAAGATTGGTGTGGGTATCGCTTGCTGGTGTTTGACCCAATTCATAATTAAATGTTTCTTTGATACGTTCATCCGGAATGATGTCAAAAAGAGAAGAAGTCGTTGGTAATTCACACACAAATTCGTTTTCGATGCAGTTACTTGTGCTATATTCTTCGCATAAAATTTCTTCTCCAAAGGATCCTTCCATTGTTGAGTAACAGCCCATCTCGTCGGATGACTTTTAAGTCTTCTATTGTAGACTAGATTATTCAGAGTCAGTTTTTTCTCCTTGTATAATATGTCAGCACGAGACTTTAGCACGACTTTCAAGCCCCGATGATGGTTCAGCCACGAAGCCCCACCTTCAAGAAAAAAGTAAGTATTTACCAGGAATTTCATCAGATTCAGTTTAAAAATTTCAAGAAATTTTATTCAAGAGATAAGAGTTAATAAACACGATAGAAGGCCGATCTCTTGGAGTCGAGGAATTTTCGGTTGCTCCTACATATTAGACTAATGCTAAGTTAGTTCAAGCATCTAGATTTATTTTCAAACTGCTTCAACTTAGAACGTACTAACTTTTGATAAAATTTGAAAGCTCGAATGAGATGAAGTTTAGAAAAGCCAATTCGTCATAATATTACGACGTTTAGAGCAAACACAATTCATTCCCAAGTGAAATACAATTTTTGCAATATCTGAAATTCGTAGAGTTTTAAACTTACATGGAAACATTGGGTAAGTTGGATACAACTCGAAAATTAACATCTCAACTTACTCACGCTTAATATTTATTAAATAATTTCCATGTCCTGACTAATCTGGTGGTTTGCAAGTTTACAGCTAGAGACTCATTCTTGATGATGGGAATTTCGGCTAAGGAAAGCCTGTCGGAGACCACCACTGCTGTGTTTCGAATGGAGTTTAATGATCCCTTCCCTCAATGACATAGCCTATAACACTTCTTAACTGTAACATTATAAGCCGCAATCCACCAGACAGATCACATCCATTGAAGTAGACTAATTAGCCCACAGGAAAACAGCCTGCAATAATTGTCGTCTGCCGGTGACCGAAAAAAAATATGCACCACTCTGACACAGCGCGCCGGAGCCTTGCAGTAAATTTGAGGACCGCCACCAAGGCTCCAACCGGTCCGTGTTCATCCTTTGCATCGAATCAGCCCACGGTCGAACGGCGGTTCGTTGATGGACGATAGATTTTGGAACAGAACTATGCTATTTGAAACCATAACTCCAGATGCTGTGAGCTATAAGTTACGTAATTTATCGAAGTTCCGGCAGTCACCAGTCGGCGGACGATATATTTTAGCTATAAAACTTCTTGACTGTAACATTATCAACCGCAAGTCACCAGACAGATCGCATCCATTGAATTAGATCAATCAGCCCATATGAAAATAGCCTTAGGTAGTATGGCCCAGCATCGTCAGCCAAAACGCGAAAAATGTTACACCACCCGGACGGAGCGCGCCGGAGCTTTGCTGTGAGTATAATGTCCGCCACCGTCCCATCCGTATCTGTCCCGTGTATCGAATCAGCCTACGGTCGAACGGCCACTCTTCGTAGGACGATAAATTTTGAGGCAGAACTTTGCTATCTGAAACCTAACCCCAGATGCCGTGAGCTAATTTAACGAAGCTGCGATAGTCATTCGTCGTAGGACGTTAGATTTTTGAACGGAACCATGCTCTCTGAAATCTAACCCCAGATGCTATGAGCTAAAAGTTACGTTCGGTGGTGCACGGCATTATTCATGCAGTTCTACTGGCGAACTAGGCTGATTTATCGCAATCCGTTGTACGCTGGTTGCAGTTCTAGCTAAAGTCAGGGTATGAAGTGACGATTCGATGTAACGTTCAGTGGTGGACCATCATTGCACTCTGGGTTCGCTTAGGAATATGGTGGTGTAAAGCTCTACATAACCAACACCAGGGGCCACGGCTATAAACTAAAAAAAACTGCGCTGTAACACATCCATGCGACAACATTTCTTCTCGCTTCGAGTCGCCAACATGTGGAACAGCCTTCCTGATAGCATCGTTGACGCTCCGAGTATTAACGCCTTCAAGAACAGACTGACGTAGCTATGCATGAGCATATGTTCAGTCTTAAAATGCCTAGCAAATTACGGACCCAGGGGCCGTATTATCAAAACTTCGTAACTTTTTGTACTTCCGACAAAATAGTTACGTGTTACGTAAGTACACCCTAATTTTGGCATTATCAAAACATTCGTACGTAAGACTTAGCTAAAAGCGTACTATCAAAACCATCTGGCCAACTGACCAATCAGAGGCTTTGGATTTGTTTACATCCTGTTAACTTCGATGGCGGGAATCGATGCCTTCGATGGTATCGACTATCGAATGCTGTCTGTCGGTATTGCTCCTTGTTGGTCCAGAAAAAGCCGTTCTAAAATAGTTGTGAACTCTTTTTAATGAACAGCCTGAGTTGAAGAAGAAATCTGTGTGCGGATCTAAAAATTATGGTTGGCAGAGATATAAAGTACCGACTAGAAGGAATGAATGATGAGAGTTGGGCGCGAAAGCTTTGTTTTGGCGCTTGTAAAATATAACGTAATATGCATTTGCTTGTAAAATATAACGTAAAAGGAAAACGAAATCAGTTTCTGCCATTAACTCAGTTGAATTTTTTTCCAATACTACTGTTTAGCACGATCACATATTTTGATCGTGCAAATGTTGCGCGATCAAGTAGTGGAGATATCACAAGTAGAGTCATCATTCTATGCGTGTGTATAATAATAATAATAATAATAGCGGTTTAAGCGTTATTAGGCCGTAGGCCTGTCGCCGATTCTTAACATCGCAGAACATTCACGGCATTTTGCGGTCTCGAACTCGCAACTCACTGCTACAATTCTGCTAAGATCGAGTTCCAAAGGCCGGATCCCTTGTGAATCAAGTCACGAAAAATTCAAGAATCGGCAACAGGCCATGGGCCTATTTCTTCAGTGCCGACACTTCTATTCTATTCTTTAATTAAAACAAGAAGATGTCATGGGCGGGTTACTGACGGCTGGATTAATATGCGGCTGATTACAAAAATATACTAGGCTTTCTATTCAGGGCTGAGTGGCGTACAGTACAGGCTTGGTGGTGCACGGCTGCGCTCCCTCAGCTAACGCCAGTCTTGTCGCGTCGGAGCACCGCATGACGATGCTGGTAAAAGCTTCCAGGACCGGACGGGTTATTGTCTCGTTTTGAGTTCAGTATTTCTAATGTGGTTCATTGGGACTATGGACTAGAGATGCCAAGTGAGGTGGCGACTCACGTAGTTGTGGTCAAACCAATTAAGTTTACGTTTTATATAAATCTAGAACCTTGATTGCTCATAAGTTTATTAAAAATACTAGTTTTCGGTAGCAGTCTTGATTCTTATACGATAGTATATCAGAAGTTTGATTTTCAATTCTCTGTGGTACTTCTGTTGGTATTTCTTACGATTGACTGTAGGACCTGTTCATCTGCCTAGTAATCGTTGTGTTTATGGTCGCATTATTTCTTTTTGGTGCTGGCTTGTTGTTGGATACATTTTGTCTAGATCGATAATTTGAAATCTAGGACTTCTATTGCTACCACAGCCATGATCGTGGGGATCCTCCCGTCGGTTCTCATGACACCCACGATACGTTACCAATTGCATTGGCACTAGGTGCGCCGTATCGTATCCTCTCTGCTTGTCTGGTGTAGCCTACGGTTACAGTGAAGAGCATAAAAATTAGTGCATTGGTAGATGCATGTAGTTCAGATAGCTTTATTCGTGCAAACACTGCAAAAATGCTTAGGCTCAAAGTCGTCCCTTGCCCCTTAGAGATTTCTATGGCCACAACGTTACATAGTGTAGAGTCGCTAGGATATTGCTACCTCGAAATAACGCTAGATGGACAACGCTTGCCATGCACACGCCTAGGCGTTTTGAACGATTCGTGTCGTGAAATTTTATTACAGCAACATAATAGAACTTACAGCAGCAACATAATACCCTTACATTTGGGTACGGAGGCGGAAAACCCCTAATGGTTGTTGACAATAACACTGGGAGCTGGGCACTTACGACTGCTGCCGTGCCAGAGCCGCCCCTAGCTGTTGTTCCATAACTTGCCACCTAATTGTAGGCCTATAGCTGCTAAATCCCGACGTTTTAGCAAGGACGACCAGGAATTCATTGCCGAGCAGGTGTTCCTCCTGCTCAAAGAGGGCATTATTGAGACCAGCACCTCTCCATGGAGGGCGCAGATTGTTGTCGCTAGAGACCCTTCGAACCGGCATAAGAAACGAATGTGCGTAGACTACTCTCAGTCTCTCAGACCTCAACCAATATACCGAACTAGAAGCCTACCCGTTACATAGAATCGATGATATGGCGAACAAGCATGCTGGTCACAAAGTATTTTCAACATTTGATCTTAAAAGCGCATATCACCAGATAAAGATTCGCGATTAAGACAAGAAGTTTACTGCCTTTGAAGCAAATGGAAGGCTTTATCAATATTCCAGAATCTCTTTCGGTGTCACAAATGGCATGGCAGTGTTACAGCACGCAATGGATAAGATGGTCGAAGATGAAAACCTAAAGTGCAACCTCCCTTATCTCGGCAACATTACTGTGGCCGGAAGAACACAAGCGGAACACGGATATAATCTGCAACGTTTTATGCAAGCGATCAAGCGTTGAAATATGACGCTTAATGAATCTAAAACTATAAAATCAGTGACAAACATCAATATTCTTGGTTATTGCGTGGGAAACGGGGTCATTAAACCGGATTCGGAAAGACTTCGTCCCCTTCAGGAGCTCACACCACCAACAAACAAGTCCTCCTTGCAGAGAGCTCTGGGTATGTTTGCTTTATACGAAATGGATTGAAAATTTTTCAGACAAGATTAATCCGCTGGTCAACTCTAAATCCTTTCCACTCTCCCAAAGCGCCCTGTCAGCATTCGGAAACCTGAAGGCTGAACTTGCCAGGGCAACTGTAAGGTCAATTGACGAGGAATTGCCTATATGGTGGAATGCAATGCTTCAGACGTTGCGGTGTCAGCAGTCCTGAACCAGGGCGGACGGCCAGTGGCCTTCATGTCAAGAACTCTACATGGAAGTAAATTGTTCTTCCCAGCAGTCGAGAAAGAAGCAACGGCCATCGTGGAATAGGTGCGTAGAAGGATCTATCTTCTGGCTAGACGCCCATTCATATTGATCACGGATCAACGTTCAGTTGCCTTTATGTTGGACAGATGGAAAATGACAAAGAAATAGAACAACAAACAACAACAATACAATTGTGGAGATTGAAGCTTGCATCATTCAGCTACTCGATAAAATGTCGTCCAGGGAAGGATAATGTAACTGTAAATGCGCTAACCAAGGGCCAAGGCCTTTTGCTGTTCCGCCCCCTCGTCATCAACGCTCGTCGAAATACATAATGGACTTAGTCATAATATAACTGAGCATCCTCGAGAGCAGGTTGTGTGGTGCCTAAGAGCTCTTCGATTGCTTGTTGTTTGCTTTGTAACCTTGCACGTACGTTGCCCCCATTCTCTCTTCTCGTTCTTGCTGACGCAGCGATTTTATTATTGACACGTCTTTCTACTGAGTGTGCTCGTTATTCTTTTGCGGCGTGCCACGTGCTTGACTAGTTGCACGTAGTATTCGATCTAGCATAAGCGTAATTTTGATTGTAGCCACAGCAGCCGTTCCGTCTTGGTTTTCGCCTAACCTCATGGAAACGGCCGAGGGATGGAGGGGAGAGGACGCGGGTGCCTTAGTTGCTCGACTGTTAACAACAGGAAGAGGACAGTCAGTTGTTCTTCGTGTGAGGGATGTTACCATCTCTCATGCGTAGGGCTGACTAGAGCACAGGCAGACACCTTCGGGCGTTGGCTTTGCCCGGGTTGCTTGGGTAGAGCCAGTGTCGGTATAACAGAAAGACCCATAGATTTCGACTTCTTGGGGTATGTTTCTCGGTGTTGTGCCAATGGTAGAGCACTGAAAAGGGTGCCCCGGGGAGCTGTGGTCTGCGCAGCAGATGCTCTGCAGAAACTGCTGGAGGCGGCGTTAAGTGAAGACAGTACTCCATTAGCGTGGGGTAGATNATTTGCAAGAACCCGAAACGTCGACAGAAAATGCCTCACCAGAAGCGAACCGGATCAAGAGGGATTCTGAGGGAGAGATGGTTCCAACTGGAACAGATTCAGTCGAAGGAAACGACCAAACATTACCCTCGGTTACTTCAAAGAGATCTTCTTGCCCGTGTAAACCTCCAAAACGAAACGGTTTTGAATAATTAGCTTCGTTAGGCTGACGTTTTTCCTGTTTCGTTTGCATTTACTTTAGTTTAATTGTTCTCCCATGTATCCTGCTTCACAATATGATAAATGCGTTCATGTGCCCATAATAACCGACTACCTTTGGTTTAAAATTTTCAGGTGGGAAGAATGTCATGAAATTTCTGTTATTGCGCCATATGTACATAATATTCCTTACTATAGTTCCTACGAGTGATTTACTTCGCTCTAGAACTAATGACTATTGTTAGCATTGATTCGGCTCTTGTACGTTCAAGACTTAGAACTACTGTTCTCCTTGTAAGTATTCTGTAAATAGTTTCTTTATGTGTAAAACCTTCATATATGAATATATTCCCATTACGTTGCCGTTTTTCCTGTTTTATAGTGTTGTTATTTTCTTCCAGGATATGTGTTCTTGTTGAATAAAGCTCTTGATGAGTTACCTCGGCTTTCGCTTACAACATCATACTTGGAGCGTCAACGATGTTATCAGGGAGGTTATTCCACATGTCGGTGACTCGAAGCGAGAAGAAATGTTGTCGCAGGGATGTGTTACAACGCAGTTTTTTGTTTATAGCCGTGGCCCTGGTGTTTATTCTTGTTTCAAATTCTAGTAATCCTTCTTGGACCTTGTATAAACCGTGGGTATACTTGTATACTTCAATGAAGTCACCACGCAGACGTCGATACCAGAGGCTTGGAAGCTTCATAATCTTTCTTCACCTTTCTTCAAAAGGCTTGCTTTTTAATCCCGGATTTACCTTCGATGTACTCGTAAGAGCGACTGATCAGTCCAAGTCGTTTATTGGCTTTATTAACTTGAGCTTCAATATGCTTAAAAATTTTCAACTCATTGTCGACATTAACTCCTAAATCTTTTTCCATTGTCGATTTCGACATCATCACTCTGTCGTTGCAACCATGTCTTCTCACACTGTAATCTTGATGTTCATTATTCTTGCCAAGGTGGATAACTTTACATTTGTCAGCATTAAAACGCAGCTGCCACTTATCAGCCCACTAAACCATCCAGTGAAGATCACCTTGCAACTGTACTTTTTGCGATGTATTCTTCACTGTATTATAAACTTTTGTGTCTTCAGCATACATCGAGCACACGCTAGACACAGCTTCTGACATCGTTTTTAAATGCAACTAATGAAACAGGCCCGAGAACGCTACCTGGTGGCACGCCGCTGCGCACTGAAGCCGTCTGTTACGGTCCCATTAATACTGACACGTTGTCATCTCCTTACTAGAAAGTCTCTGATCCATTTGAGTACATAACTCTCAATTCCAAAAGACTTCAATTTACGCAACAACAGTTCATGTGGGACACTGTCAAATACCTTTGCAAAATCGAGGTACACTGCGTCTGACTAGGAATAAGTATATATATTATACATAAAGCATAGGTGATTCGGACTTGGGGGAGAAACTCAGGTCGTCTTTGATAAAAATCGAGAGACGACGCGGGTTGCGGCCGGCGAGGTATTTAAGCAGAGCGGGCGAACAGCAGAGTCAGTCCTGTGCAGAGTCCAAGGAGTTTTTTCTGTGTGGCGCGACCAAAACCGAGGGTCGGTGCCGTGTGGAAACGAGTTGAGATCTTTACCGGGTGAGTGAGATGTACGAGTTACCAGAGGACATTGATTCCCACCAAAGCCGATTCTACGCGTGTTCAAGAAGCGAGTTAAATTCCTACGAGTGTTCAAGAAGCAACCAGCCGGACGTCGATTCTCACCAAGACCGATTCCTAAGTGTTCAAGAAGCAACCAGCCGGACGTCGATTCTCACCAAAGCCGATTCCTACGAGTGTTCAAGAAGCAACCAGCCGGACGTCGATTCTCACCAAGACCGATTCCTACGAGTGTTCAAGAAGCAACCAGCCGGACGTCGATTCTCACCAAGACCGATTCCTACGAGTGTTCAAGAAGCCACCCGCTGGCTGCGAATCAGCCACGAACTTGATTCTCTTGATTTGGAAGGCGCTGTAGCACCGTCGTATTAATCTTCCCAACCTGCGAGGGACCGCATGACTGTCCGAAGGCTAACTGCTGCACTGCTCTCCTCACATAGCCGGTGATGTACCCGTTAGGAAATTAAGGTTGACAGGGCTGTTATATTGTTTGAGAATTGTATTACCATTAGGCCGATGTCATGGTCTAAGGGCTTGTTACCAGGTGCTAGTTAGTGCCGTGTCGAATACCTAGGTCCGTGCTGGGTTTCCTGTTATACGTAACCCCTGGTGCTCGTCATTTTCACCGCGCCCGGCCCTGTAATAGGATAGCTTTTCTTTTCTGTAATAAAGGACGTTTGGAATCGTATTATCGTGTCACAGTTCTGTATTGGGATAGTTTATTTCCCAAGTATATAGCTTGAGATAAATGGGTGTGTCATTTCTCCTATTCAAGTCGTATCCGTCCAGTCGAGAACCCCTGACGTGCCGTAAATTAGGTGTAATTTTTTTTAGGTGGTGTAATTTTTTCGCGGTTTGGCAGACGATGCTGGGCCATACTACCTCAGGCTACTTTCCTATGGGCTGATTGATCTAATTCAATGGATGTGATCTGTCTGGTGGCTTGCGGCTTATAATGTTACAGTCAAGAAGTGTTATAGGCTACGTTCTTGAGGGAAGGTATCATGATAGTCCATTCGAAGCCCGGCAGTGGTGGTCTCCGACAGGCGTCCCTATCGATGCCGATGGCAATTATGCAAAATTGTGCCATTATGTATATATTTGATCAATAAATTCGATCAGTAAGAATTATTGTATTTTAATAGCGCGATTGAAATTATTTGGTAGTTTAATTTCAATAAACGCAGAAAAGCGTATTTTGCATGTATAACACACTATTTAAAATCACTCTTTAATTGGAAACTAGTAGGAAGTTTGCGCCCATTGCTTGCGTATTTTCTGCTTTATCACTGTGGCATGACTGCTATATGTGTTGTTCGGCAACCGTATATCTTCGATCACACAATAAATCATTTTTCTTACCAGCTGTTCATACCTGCTCTTTACCTCAACTTTATCATAGCTTACTGTATAAATTTTACACAAATTCACTTCGAACCCTTTTTGAAGATTATCAACTACTTCACGGCTTAAACTAGGTTTAGGGGCGTATTTTGCATCTACATGCGTTAGAAGCCACACCATAGGCAAGTGAGGATAACAGGTGCAATGTACAATTGACCTTAATGATAACATACAATTCTAGTACTTGTCATAGAGGAATATCTGCAAGTCAGGTTCGGTCATGCTTTAAGGCGACAAAGTTAAAAATGTGCTAATTTACTACTTCAGCTTCCAGTGAACAAGATTAGTATCGTTTTAGTATCTGAATTATGAAGAATTAAATCTGAAAATTAGAAAGTGCGAATGAAGTACCATTATAAGCCGAGTGCATGTGAAACGAGGACCAAAAATAGCAGGTAAAATTTAGAATATATTACAAATACTAGTGGAAGCTTCGGGTGAAAAATTACCTGGTTTTGGTGCTTGGAAGAAGGACCTAAAGTTTTACTCTACTTCGGAATCTTCGTTCTCTCCACTAATTCATTTCTTTTCCGACTTCGTAGAGACTTCAGAAATTTTAAACAGCGGACATGGCCAAGTCTGCGGCATCTGCAAACTGTAGAAAATTTAAAATCCATCGGGGAAGTTTTCACTTACTTTCATCCGAAGCTTTCAGATAACAAATTGGAATTACAAAAATACAATAGTGTATCAGAAACTCGAGCATTTAAATGAGCAATATAACTAAAATATTTCATTAGTATCAAATGACATAATGAACACAATGATAGAAGTCCGATTAAATTTTTTTTACGATTCGCCTGAATCATACAACAAGCTTGCATCATACAACAAATGAATTCCTGAAATAAGAAAAAAAATTGATTGTGAATTTGATTTATTTTCCTACAATCATAGAGATTCTCTAGAGCATTGGACGTTTAGCGGTCTAGCAGGACTTGACGCGAACGTTCTGTGGCATCGACAATTTTTACGGTACATGCCTTACCTCACTCCACGGTACTTGGGAATTAAAATCATGTTTATTATGAATAGCCCACGAGCGTTAAAATTCTTTTAGTTTATGAATGAAATATTCTTGATCGATTCATAGTTATACAAAAATTTAGCAGCTATACAATAGATCTTCAACGCGCTAGTTGTAGCTCAACCGGGATTGAACCTTTAATTTATCAATGCCCTCTCAATCTAAGAATCCCTCCTCTATTTAAAAAAATGCATTGAAAACAGAAAACTTCACCAATTACGAAGAACATCAATAATGCCCGCCAAAAATAAAAGGCTAGGAGATCGAATTTTCCAGAAGTTTCAGAACGTCAACTGGGTCACAGAGCTTACCTAACTAAGCAAGTGTAGCTTAGTTATGTAAGCTTTTAAGTGTCTAGCGTAAGGTAACTTTAAAACGAGAAATATGTCATGAGGCATTTCGAACGGCTAAATCATGTAAATGAATATGAGCAGTTTCATTATCTACAACATTGTGAATTTTATAATCAAACTCTCAGTTGTTTATGAGAAAAGTTCACTTAATTCTTACTCTTTGTAACGAAAATCAAGTTGACTCGAACTATTCCTCAAATTTCGCAAGTAATAGAAGCTCATAGTGACCTGAATCATACTCACTGGGATCAGCACTTTAGACGCAGCACACTCACTCTACGGCTTTTGATACTCTAGTGCCAGCGAACGTTTTCTGTGCCGACGTAAACGGCAGCAAGGTGGTTAATCGTGTCCCCGAGATAACAGTCTGGTTCTAACATACATATATATAAGATCAATATCCGGTGTCAATATTGTAGATGAATGAGACGTCTTAATTTAAAAAATAAATGCGAATGAATTTCAGAAAGCTCAAAAAGAGATGCATATTGAGCATATATACTAATACACTAATACGAGTGGTTAATGGCCAGAGAATTCAGTGATTTAAATTTTCAGGTCGAACAATATTCTCCAGATGAAGTTGGTTGATCAGAGCGGAGGTTTGAGAAAGTAACTTCAAGTCACGATGTTTAGAATGAAACTACATTCATTTTCAAGTTATAGGATCCATCGCTTGTATTTTTATAATCTTGGGTTAGTATTCGACTATCTGACGTTAATCAAATGAGCTATTTAACCATTTAACCATTTCTACACTAGATCTTAATTTAAATTTTACATTCAAAGCAAAAAAAAATCGTATAGGGTTGATTTTGGAAACCCTTGTAACACTTGCTAAAATATTTATATGAAGATTATAACAAGTATTAATAGTGGTTTAGTGGGTAACGACTAACAGTTGGCTTTAATTATGTAAAAAAATTACGTGAATTTACATTAGAAAATGTGCAGTAAAATCATAGTAATTGATTTCTGATCAAAGTTTGTCATTTTGTTACGTCTCGGACAAATTTACGGCTAAATTTAATTAAGCACATATTGCTGTTTAGATCATAATTTAAGTGAAGTGAAAAAAAGAAACTCGCGAACGAAGGCAAAATCGAAAAAATTTCACGAGCTAAACATCACTGTTTGATAGTATGGAATGTATATTCAAAAATTGTGTTCACATCTGTACAGTAGTTTGCAAGAAACTCCTTGAACACTGCGAATTTCCGGCCGTATTGACATATAACTCACGAATGCAGGCAAAATTAAAAAAATCATGGGCCGATCATTACATCTTTAGGTCCTAATGAATACCTATACTGAGTTTTATCGAGCTGCGTTTTTGGGAGATATTACTCGATCATTGAATTTGAATTTGGAGATGGCCGTGAGACCGGCCGCGAGTCCGGCCGGAAATTTGCCCGATTCGTCATTAACGTTCAGGTCCTGCGTGAGTTTTTCCGATGAAAACTAATACAAAGGGAAATTTTAGTGCTAATCTACAGTGCACGGCATTCGCAACTAACTTTTTACTATATATTTGATGAGTAATGACTGCTGCTGCTGATCTGTCCAATTTTCTTCTCGGCTGTTGCGGATGCGGGTTATGCGGTTTACGTGTGATCCAGTGTAAACAGAGCGGTGGGCGTCGCGAAATTTTTAGGATGCCCTTGCAAGGTCTTCTCAGGCGTGCTTCTGGAATGCTAGGGGCTGGTCACAACATTCAAGTTAAACCTTCTCATGGAGACGGGGAAATTTTATTCTGTAAGTATCGTGATTTTGATCAACAATAGTCTCTAATACGAGACATCATTTCGAGGTTGACCATTCTAATGATTGAAGACTTATATCCCTTATTTTTTGCAGCCAAGAATAATGTGTGTGTGCACACTCCATCTCAATTTCGGAATGAAGGCTCAAGTATTCATCATCCAGGATACCTCGTAGTGCGCTGTCGACACACCTGCAAGAATAGTAATTCAAGTAAGTGGGATTCAGAAATTTATTTCTCTACTTGATCATCTTGATGTCTGTCTTTACTGATTTTGTTTTGCAGTTAATCAATTAAGTTATCATGTCAATGTCTCCGAGCCAATCTGAAATGTGTGGCTGCTCTGCCAGAATTATCACATATTAGTTGTTGCTGGAAAAACTGTTCCACAATCAATTTTTAAAAACACATGCAAAAATGTTCTGTCTTTCATATTTTCATTGAAAAAATTTGAAAGGGATAAAGCCAATGGTTCATTAAGATTGGTATGTTAAAAATATTTATATTTTAAAATGATAATAAATGTATATCTTAAAAAAAATGAATAAAAATTATCATACAAGTATTGATGAAATAAAAAAATCAATATTTTCATCAAAACTGGTCTACATTCTTATGATTGATTGATGGTGCTATTTTAAAGTACATACTGTCAAATGGGGTAAAAAGGGACGGGCGGGGTAAAAAGGGACAGTTCTCCAACATTTTGTAGAAATGTTGTAGTAGCTAAACTAATTACAATATTGCAAAACTAGAAGTAGTTAGTGGTGTAAAGTTCAACATTTTTACTATGACTACCATCAAACGGGGTAAAAAGGGATGGTTTTGAGCATTTTTTGTTAATAACTTCTTACCATGAAACATTTCAGAAACAAGTTTAGGCTCATTTTATAGCTTTTTGCGAGGGCTATCCAATGGCGTCTTCATCTCAGACGCAAAATAAACTTGTCCCGATTTACCCCTGGGGACGGGGTAATCCGGGACACTTGCAATAAAAGTTAATTTTAAAATGTTTGAAGCATGCAGAGTGTACTCATCCATTACTAACAGTACTTTGAAGTCCTCCTCTTTCATTGTAGATGTAAAATAAATGACATTTTCTGTGATTTTCACTCGCTTTTCCTTTATTGATATTATATTACCATATTCATTAATTACAGTACGGTATTATTAATGTGATATTACTGTATCCATGGACATACCATTGAGCATTGACAATGACCTTGTCCACTGCAAGCTTCATATCAGCAGCCATGTAGCATTTCTTCTGCATCTGTAAGCTCACAGGCTGGTTTGTAATTTTGCACAATTTTAATTGAGTCAAGTTATTTCACTATAACAAAAAAGATTGTGAAAAACATACCTGAAACAGAAAATAATGTTTTAGTGACAACCATCATATGTTTTGGAGAAATAAATCATAGTTTAGGTCATTTACTTTTCATTCTATGATGCTCGGTGCACAATTCTATATATAGCATTCTATGTAAAATTTCAACTTTTATGTAAGTAAAATTTTTTAATTTAATACGGCGAATATTTTTTTTGCTCCAGACCTTAGCAGAGGTACTTTTCCAAAATCGCACTTTTTTTCAGCGATTTTTTTAGAGATAGTAAATGTATGATTTCTTGACTAGCTTTATACATAATAGATAGTAAAAATGTTGAAGTTTATGCCACTATTTTTAGTTTTGCAATATTTTAATTACGTAGTTTAGCTGCTACAACATTTTTACAAAATGTGGGACGCGCGTCCTGATTTACCCCGCCTGTCCCTTTTTACCCCGTTTGATGGTATCTATGCAGCATAAAGCAAGTTGAGAAATCATATAGGAAGCATTGGATTAATGTTATAAAAAATCCCTGAAAAAAATTTGAAAAGTGAGATTTTGGAAAAGTACCTCTGCTAAGGTCTGTAGCAGAAAAAATATTTGTCGTATTGAAAAATTTTACCTACATAAAAGTTGCACACTAGTGTTGGCTTAAAACGTGATTGACAGAATTTGCATATCTCATTCCAAGAAAAAATGGTGGCCATTTCTGCAAAACAGGGTAATAAGGGACCCCCCCAGGGTAATAAGGAACACTCCTAAAATTGCATTTACAGTAGAACCTTGGTTAGCAAAGGCTCCAGTTAATGAAAAATCAATTAACAACAAAGAATTTTCATTACATTTACCTTGCTCATTGAAAGAAATTTCACTTAATAAAAAATTACTGCATCAGTCATCACAAAATTCTGCATAGAATGTCACAGATAGATTTGAGCACTGGGCAACAAAGAATGAAAAGTAATTAACCTAAACTATGATTTATTTCTCCAAAAAATATGATGGTTGTCACTAAAATATTCCTTCCTGTTTCAGGTATGTTTTTTACAATCTTTTTTGTTATAGTAAAACCAATTCACTTGATTAAAATTCTGCAAAATAACAAACCATCCTGTAAGCTTACTGATACAGAAGAAATGCTACATGGCTGCTGATATGAAGCTTGCAGTGGACAGATTCATTGTCAATGCTCAATGGAATGTCCATGGATACAGTTATATCGCATTAATAATACGGTAATGTATGGATAAGGTCAGAGCTGGGCAGCGCTACTTGGAAATGTAGCGGCGCTACCGCTACCGCTACATGCTCTAAATGTAGCGGGCGCTACCGCTACCGCTACACCTACTAGATTGTAACGGGCGCTACCGCTACCGNCGCTACCGCTACCGCTACTGAAAATGTAGCGGCCGCTAGTAGCGGCCGCTACATGTAGCGCGCTACTGCCCACCTCTGGATAAGGTGATATTATATCAATGACAAAAAATAAAGTAAAAATCACAGAAAATTTCATTTATTCTATATTTACATCATCTACAAAGGAAGAGGAGGACTTCAGAGTACTGTTAGTAATAGATAAGTACACTCTGCATGCTTCAAATTTTTAAAATTGAGTTTTATTTCAAGTGTCCCTTTTTACTCCATTTCCAGATTAATTCAGGAGCCTTTTATATTACGCCTTGTACCTTACAAATAGCATATGGAATTTTTTCAAAGATGACATAGGATAGCCCTTGCAAAGACCTTTGAAGTGAGCCCAAACTTCTTTATGAAATGTTTCATTGTAAGAAGTTATTAACAAAAAACGCTTAAAACCATCCATTTTTACCCCATTTGACTGTATAAAAGAACATGGGCTTTTGGGATAAGGAACTATCCATAATAAAGAAATGTGCATGCTCACAAGTCACAAGGCATAGAACATATCTACTTTTCAAGCTAAAAGGCTGATTAAGAGCTGTCCTGCCATTTCTACAGCTAATAATTTCTGTCAGTTGAATCATCTCCTATCAGATGTTAATAAAAATAAAAGTAGATAATGGTGAAATTTACAGAAAATAATTTGTTTCAGGTATAAAATGTAGAAGTGGAAAATACAAAGTCTAGTCCACTTTATAAACTTCAGGAACATCTCCATACTGTTTTGTATTGAAAATTTGTCATGGTTGTCCCTCTCTCCACATCATTAGATATTATATTTGCAGGTAGAGTTTCGATGTCTGGGACCAATTTTGTTAACATATGTTCACTATAATTCTGACATTACCTAATAACAATCCCCTGCCCTGGTCACTAGGCAGTTTGTAGGTGAAGTGCATAAATCCTTAAGTGGAACTGAGGGAACCTTAGTTTCCTAAAATTCTACTGCGGAATTTAGGAAGGGTAATAGATAAATTACTCACTAGTCACTACTGCACATAACATGTTGGATTGATGAATGTGGCATTAGATCTTCATTTTGCTGTTAGCTGATAGGTACTCTGGAACTGAGCTAAGTACCAGGCTTGATACCTAATGGTTTTGGAGTAGAAGGCACTCTGGCCTGTTCTTCTGCATTTGCAGCTCCCAGGCTGTTTGTACTTCACTTTTCACTTTGTTGCAAGTTTGGTAGGTGGCACAGTCTGAAAAGTCAGAAGGATTAGTTAGCATTCTGGATCAAAGAGGCCTGGCCCATCTGCCCATAATTTGTCAAAACGTTTTTTGAAGGTGTTCATGGAGAAGGCAGTTACCATGCTGTGCTAAAATAGATCTTAATATAGACCCTTAATAAAGGCTGATAATTCAAAAAGTTATTGAAACGCCTAGGTATGCATCATTTTTAAAATTTTTGAATCACTCAAATAATTTTTTCAAGTACCGTCAAACATGGTTAATAAGGGTTGCTTTTATTCATTTTTGTTAATAACTTCTTACCATGAAACATTTCATAAACAAATTTGGGCTCATTTTAAGGGGAGCGTCTTGGTCCAAAATAGACAATTTTGGCTTTTCCGGTTTTTAGTCTTGTCTTAAAGCTGACATTCTGACCTATCCAACAGTACCAAAACCATCTTTGTATGTTGATTTATGCATTCATGACAGATCCCAAAGGTTAGGGGGTGGTGGAGCTTCCTAACAAAACCCTATGAGAATAATTCCATCCGGGGTCTATAAATGTGCAGTCTGTGGCCGTGCAGCTCAGTCAGCCACAAGCTGTCATGCTGGAAAGTGTGCATGCAGTCGTTCTCTGCATCGCTGAGTGACTTCAGAGTGAAATAATGCTTACCTTCAGTATCCAAGCTACGTTATATGCCTTTACATAGCGCGAGCGCCGCCAGTCGGCGATTTATCGGCTCTCCTGAAAAGTTGCAATTTTCATCTTAGAAATCTATCTTTTCTTATGATTTTCAAGCTACAGCAATGAGAGATATACCGTACGATTCGTAAATTAAAGCTCAACAAAATGATGTTTGTACTTTTTCGATTTTGATATAGTTTGGATTATATTTTGCAAAAAGGGGGGCAGAGGGGGGAAAAATTGAAAAAATAACAAACCCTCCCTCCACCCACAAAAATAAAAATTTGGAAAAACAAAAAAGTCATTTTTTAGATATGGTCTTTACAAATCAAATGATACGTGTCTCAATGTTGTAGCACAATACTTGTAGGAGGAGATAGATTTTTAAAGTTACATCTTTTTTTCCGTTTTCTACAAATTTCGTGTTTTATTTCATTTTTTTGGAAAAATTTACACAAACGAAAAGTTCTTAGATTTCTGTGTTGCATATTTGTACCAAGTTTCAAAGTGATCTGTCTGTAAATAAGAAAGTTTTTCCGTGACCGAGATGCTCCCTTTAAAGATCTTTGTGAGGGCTATTGTATGGCATCTCCAAAAAAATTCCGTATGCCATTCGTAAGGTGCAGAAACACAAATGAAAAGCATCCCAAATTACCCTTGGTAATGGGGAAATTTGGGACACTTGAAATAAAATACAATTTTAAAACATTAGAATCTATCAGAGTGTACTCACCCATTACTAACAGTACTCCACTACAAAGTCTTCCTCTTTATTTGTTGATGATGTGATATAGAACAAATGACGTTTTCTGTGATTTGTACTCGTTTTCCCTTTATTGATATGATATTACCACATCCATTTTGATCTGATATTACCATATCCATACATTACTGTATAGTTTAGGTCAATTACTTCACATTCTATGTTTGCCATACACAAGTTGTGATGATTGATGATGTATTAATTTTTTGTTAGTTGGAATTATTTTTGGTCAGCAAGATAAATGTAATCAAAATTCTTTGTCAGTAACCAATTTTTGTTTTGTTAATCAGAGCCTTTGCTAACCAAAGTTTTACTGTAAATGCGTTTTTAGATGTGTCCCTTTTTAGCCTGGGGAGCGGAACACCCAGGAAATGGTCTAATGGAAATCTTAACACCCTGTCTTGCAGAAATGGCTGACATTTTATTTTGGATTGAGGTATACAAATTCCGTCAATAATGCCAACACATGTGCAAGTTTTTTGAAGCAAAAGTTTTCAATATGGCAATTTTTTCACTTCAGACCTTAACAGAAGTATATTTTTGTAATATCAGTTTATAACATTTTTTCGGGGATTATTTAGAGCTAGTAAATGTATGATTTCTTAACTTCTTTTATGCTACATAGATAGGAAAAGCTTTGAAGTTTATGCCACTTTTTTAGTTTTGTAATATTTCATTTAGTTTTGCTTCTTTAACATTTTACGCCATGGCGGAGGACTGTGTCAATTTACCTCACCCGTACCTTATTACCCCATTTGATGGTATTTCTCTCACACCCAAGGGGCTGTTTATGCTAAAAAACATGCTTATTTTTTAATTTCACAGAATTTTGCTGCCTTATTGAAAACAGCTTGCAGTACAAGCCCTGAAATTAATGTTCATTTGCAGTAGTAAAAGGCTGACATTGTATGACATTACTTGGAAGTCTAAGGCCCACATTACCAATTGTATTACTTGGAAGTTTAAGAACCAAAGTTGATTGATTAAGATTGATTATCTATTTGCCTGCTTTTTATAAGAGCATTACACCTAAACCATTGCTTTGACGTTAACTAATGTTACTATGTGCAATGAGTACCATAAAATAGGGTTACTCTGACTCTCGGGGTAACTTTGACCACTTTTCGTTTTTTTAACATAAACCCCCAAAACTCAAAAACTATTTGACATAGAAAAATTTTGTCAATGCAATGGCCATTGAAGGCCTAATACTGAGGCTACGTAACACAATAGAAAGATTTAAAAAGTTTGCATATCTAATAGGTTAAAAAATTAAAATGTGACCCATGAATAAGAGCTATTATTTAATGCCTGTTGGAGTACCCCCTCTCATTTTTTTACTTTTTTGGTAAAATAACTCCAGGTTTTGATGCATTGTAGTAGAACCCTTCTAGTTACATTTGCAAATGACAAGTTTTAGGAAAGTGTCATAGTTTGCAAATGGGGGGTGCTGCCTCCCAATGAGGGAACTCTGACCACCTAATGGCAGCCATGACGGGGTAACATTGACTGGCTTGGAAATCAAGTTAAAATTACCATAGGTACCTATATAACATATTTTATGTTTGATACACCTATTAATGTTTTTTCTTTATATTTCAGACTCTACAGAGTCTTATATATGGTAATTTTAACTTAATTTCCAAGCTGGTCAATGTTACCCCATCACAGCTGCCATTAGGTGGTCACATTTTGCCCATTGGGGGACGGTGCCCCCAATTTGCAAACTATGACACTTTCCTAAAATTTATCATTTGTATATGTATTTATAAGAGTTCTACTACAATGCACCAAAACCTGGAGTTATTTTACCAAAAAATAAAATTGATTTTACCACCCGGTCAAAGAAATCCCAAGAGCTGGGGTAACAAAGACCATCACTTTTTTGAAATTAGATCAAAACTATGAGAGGCAGGAGCCAGAAATTTATGGTGNCCCATTTTATGGTACTGAAATTTGAGAGTATATATTTTGCTTGATTTATTATTTTATTCAGTTAAACCTATTATATATAGTTTAAATTGTTAAGAGACAACTCAAGTGCAAACATTTTATTTGTTGTCGTATTGGTGTAAGATAGAAGTGTATCCTAGAATTATATTCATATGATACTAACTTTGTGTGATGAATTATAATAATTGTTAGGCATTTTTGCAGTTTACTAGCAAAGTTAATAAACAAAGTTTGGTAGTTTGGCTTTGTTTAATAAAAAAAGTTTGGCCATGTAGTTCAATAAACTCAAACAAAATTTAACTTGAAAATCTGTATGATACATATGCTATTAAATGAGACCGATGATTTTTCTTACCTACTTTATATCTTAGCAGCAATGACACTTATTGTTTTGTTAATTGAATCACATAGGCTTAAATTCCTGCTTATACTTGCAATTAAATAAGGCCTGGACTAATTTACATATGTATACAGGCCAGGAAATGTGTTCCGATTTATATATTTTTGATGTTGAAATAAATGCATGACCAAAATAAGTACCGGTGAACATTTTATCATGCATTAAAATTCTCAGTAATGTATCTACAGCACTTTTTTCATGTTTCTCCAATTTCTTTAATACATGTAAATTTTTGAATAGTCATCATTGAATACACACCATGAATATACACTTGCACTAAAATAAAATTTCAAATTTTCTCACTTTCAGATGGGACCACTATCCATGAAGAAACTGATGCCTGCTCTGCAATTGATCCCAAAGACTCTGAGTTGCTCCCATTTGGAAGCTCTAACACCACTCTTACACTCACGTGGATCCCTAATGAAAAGCTTGCTAAAAATCATGATCTCATATCACAACTCAAGTGTGTTAATAGAAGAAAATGATTCATAAGTTTTTTTTATGTAAATATTTGATTAAACAAATAAACTTTTATTGGGAAATCATATGCATTATTCGTTTGTTTTGTTAGTCATTAGTGAACCAAATTGAAGTTTTGCTTCTATACTGTATGTAATTGTAGGATATCAATTTATGTCATCCTCATAGTGAGAATTTTCAAAAAGGGTAAATAAGGACTGAAATGTTTTGCAGTCCTGATGTGTGTGGCAGTGCAAGCCGAAGTTGTTCTCCCTGTCGCTTCTCTGACTGTGAAAGCATATCGTTGTCCTCTTACTGCTGCAACACCGACACTCATTGCACAGCTTCACTTGCAAGCAAAGTGAGATTTTTAACAATATTTCGAAGACCTAGTTCAATATATCATACTCAATTATTAGGAAGAAATATTTTAATAGATATACAGGAATAGTCTAAATGAAGGACCCAGTTTAATAAATTTGTATTTATTAAAGAGTAAATTCAAAATAAATAGTTTTTACAGCAATGGAAAGAAAAAGATTCAAAATTTTTTTACGTGTTTGTAAATGTTCAATATGTCCCCCTTGTGCTGCACAGCAAACATCTAAATGGTAGCCATACTTGTCCCACACACAAGAAAGTATATCTTCTGTTACTGGGTTCACCGTAAGTCATACCATTCTGAAGCTCAGCCAGAGTTGCTGGTAGCGGTGGGATGTAAACAGCTTCCTTGACGTACTAACTCCATAAGGAATAGTCACATGGGGTGAGATCAGGTGATCTGGGTGACCAGAAGTATAGAGCCAGATCTCCATTTCCCATGCATCCTACCCAACCCTTAGGACGACCATTTCTGCAAATACCGCCTTTGCCTAATAACGCATTAGAATTGGTTAAAAAATGGAATCTTTCTTTTCATAGGTGTATAAATTCTTCATTTTGCTTTTATCGTCAAAAATGAATACACATTTATTACATTGGGCCCATCATTTAGAATAAGCCTGTATTTTATATTCTCTCAACTTGAATATGAATTCTTTCACGTTTTTCAAGTAGTGGAAGTAATGAGTTCCATGTAATTGAATCGTATTTGTTAGAGATTTTTAGACAATATACAGTGGGGGGAAATAAATATTCATACACTTGAAAAATCGTATTTCAATGTATGTAAGTACACAAACTTAACAGGAAAGGTGATTTAAATTATGTAGAGAGACGCATAGTATTCAAAAATACTATCAAAAGAAATTAAATCTCAATGCAACAAAAAACAATGCAACATGTTCACTTTGCGGGGTGAAAAAAGTATTCGTACAAAACAATAAATCCGCATTATTTTATTTTAATACTTGGTTGAATACCCTTTATTCAGCTCAACAGACACCAGTCTATTTCTATACGTCTCGACCAATGATTTGCAGATGCTGACTGGTATTTTATACCATTCTACTTAGGACGACCATTTCTGCAAATACCGCCTTTGCCTAATAACGCATTAGAATTGGTTAAAAAATGGAATCTTTCTTTTCATAGGTGTATAAATTATTCATTTTGCTGAATACACATTTATTACATTGGGTCCATCATTTAGAATAAGCCTGTATTTTATATTCTCTCAACTTGAATATGATTTCTTTCTCGTTTTTCAAGTAGTGGAATTAATGAGCTTCCATGTAATTAAATCGTATTTGTAAGAGATTTTTAGACAATATAAGATATTTAGACTGCAGACAAACTTTGGCAGTGCTTATGGAAAATATGCATGAGAAAATTAAACTGAATGTTTAATTTTCTGAATGCATTTAAATTGTAAATATTCTTTCCTGAGCTTTTCTTTTTCTGCTTCATGCACATTCAAGACTAAGGAAAAATATGTGAACCAATCTTATTTGTTTGATCTTGATTTATCTGCTGTTTACTTATCTACCATTTTTATTTCTGTTTAGAAATGTTCAGTCTCATTTTATTTCTTCATCTCTACTAGTTGCAACTACCAGTTTTTTCTCTATCCAACTTCAGTGTGCCTGAAATATAAAATTTTTTTGCCATATTAACTTTGGTGATCCAAAGTTGGTGTCAGTCATTACTATCTGTCTTGTTACTGATCAATCGTTTTTTTTATAATTTTTGTTCAAAATTTTTTTAATAATTCTTTTCGCATATTGTTTAATTTCTTAAAATAACAATCAATTACCTATTAAATTTCCTTTCTGAGGGTAGCCAATTTCTGAGAACCTCCTTAGTTTTTGGATTTACTTTCATTCTCTTTCATTTCCCATGGCAGAGTTATGAAGAGAGTACAGCATTGGTGTCTTCTGAGGCATCCACCACTGAAGCATTGAGTGAAAACCCACTTCAGCCAAGAGGATCATGTAACCAAGAACATGAAATTTCTTCTAATCCAACTTTTGGCCCGCCCATTGATAGTGCTGATACTTTGACATCTCACGCTTTGGACACTTCTCCCTCTACTCCATCAAATGAATGTGAATCTGAAGCTGATAAAGTCTCTGAGACCTACCGAGACTCGGGTGTAGTTGCAGATAGTGTTGCAGACACGTCATTCATTACTGAATTAACTAATACTTCTTGTAATGACAATAACAAAGAAGATGAGGATGAAACTGGCGTGTTCTTGTCCAGTGGAAGCAGTGGAAATTTGGGAGAAATTCAAGATCTGGTTATCGGAGCTTTGAACGACAATAGCTCAACAAGATCTGCCTTCACAGAACTTTCCACTAACAATGAGACTCATGAAGTAGATGAGAATAACGTTTCATCTATTAATGTTGAGGAAAATCTTCCTGTCTCAGGCGTTGAGGCTGGAAATATTTCCAAAATCAACTCTAGCAGCTCGGAGTTGAATGCTGATGAAAGTTTTTTAGAGCTCAAAAAGCTGAATTCCAATCTCACTAATGGAGAAGCTTTGCATTTAGAAAAGGCTCCTCATGATACCAGCTTTGATTCTTCGCCAGAGCCCCATAACCCAACTTATGAAGCAATTTATCCAAATGATCAAGGTATTTACTTGAATTATTTACTAAATGTAGTATATAATCTTACTCTGTTTAACTGTTGCATTATCATGTCAAAGAAGCTGTTTTTGCTGATGATCTAATTTCGGATAATTGCAAGATTTTTGTACTAGGATGAAGCAATACCTAGCACTTTCCCAGCTGAGGTTGAGTTATGTTTGAACCATATATTAGTTGTAAATAATTGTTGCTATTTTGAAATTTATTCATTCTAACATGATTCATGTATTAAAATAATTATTATTTCATTTCTCTCTGAGTACTGCTGATGATTCTCCTTTTCATTCCATGGGGTCAGATGGAGTTTGGTTTGAAGGCAGTGCTGAGAGCATGGCATATTCTGCCAATCTGGCATTTCCGGAGTGGCCCCCCTCAATGTCTTCATCATTTAGCTCAGGCGTTTCGCAGAACTTCAGTGGTGTATCAGGCATCTCAGGAGGTGGTCGATTTTGTGCAGCTCCTTCATCTCATAATGAGGGCTGTAATTGTTGTTTCAAGAACACGTCTCATCATAGCAATAAAGTGGCCATCTTCAATGTTGATCTTGGTGAGCTTTGAGCGTTTTAAGAATTAATTAGCTTACTTGTTATGTAAATTAAATTCTTGTGGAAAATTTTAGTTTTAAACTCTGTTTTATAAACACGTAATCAAATGTTCTACTTTTAATAAAAAAATGCTGCTTCAGCTTAATTGTTTTAGATTTACTGTGCACAATTGTGACCTAAACATGACCCACTATGTTTTTAGGCGTTTTGGTATTCTTTAAAAAATGGCTGAATTTCATCAGCCATTCTGATGTTCCTTCTTTAGAGCCGAGTATAGAAAACAATTACTTGAGCCTACAAAATTTTCTGCCATCAATTCCTGTATCAAACATCGATTTCAGCATTTAATGTTTGTGAAGCACAAAGAACCTTCCAAATAACACAGGCCATTCTTCTCTTGACTTTCTAGTAATGCCAACCAAGCGCTTGTTCACCTCAATTGAGTGCCAGTATCATGTTATCATTCATTCTCCATCAGAATTTTCTATTGTTAAATTTTCGGGAAAAAGGCACATGGAAAATATTTTTTTAAACAATGTTGTTTAGGCAGTACTGAAGAAGATTGGAGAACCGAAAAATTTATTATATTTAGGCAGTACTGAAGAATCACTATCATTGGTGATATTCTGCGTCAGCCTATATACATACAGTACATCATTATACATATAGCATGTTAGCAACTACAAGACCGTAAGTGCTAGACTGCAGACACTCAAATCAAGTCAGCCTGAAAACTCGTCCAGATGACCATCACACAAGTCCACTGACAGCTGCAAAGCTGCCAGCAATTACTGCTTCTACCTTACTGTCTACCTATTTATGTAACAGGGATCAATGGGCTATTAACACATTGATACAAGTGCGACACATTATAGGGTGAAATAATATATAACACTAAAAGACATATATAACAATTAAAATAATAAAAGAGAACTGAAGCCTGAGAGGAGAGAAATTCGTTCATACGCATAAAAATTGTATATTATAAAATCCTGAGTAGTAAGCAAGTTCATCTAACAGAAAGGAGTTTCTAGTTCATTAATTAATTATAGTAGACCTACAATTTTTTGTTTTTGTGAGTCCTGTTGAAAAGGAAGGTATTTGCTTGAATGTGCAGGAGAGATGCGCTCATTGCGGCTGTTCTTCAGTGATGGTACAGGATGCAGAGGTCAGCTCGTCATTGCAAGCAAGGAGAGTCAGTACAAGATCCTGCACTTCCATCACTCTGGCCTTGATAAACTTGCTGCTGTGTTTGAAGACTGGAATTTTCTGGTCAATCCTCGAGATGTAAGCTACGGTTTGGTGTTTCTTTATATGTGTTACAGAAGAGTTAATGCACACAAGCACAAATAATTTTTTTATCTAGATATGGAGACTAATGATTTTCAATAATAATTTAAGTGGTAATAAATCCGGCTAAGTTATTCTACTGTTAATGGAATTTTTCTCCTTTGACAATTCTTGGATCTCCTCAGAGAATCCAAGTCCCCTGAGGGGATCCAAAAAGTCCCCCCTCAGGGGGGACTTCTGACGTGCGTCAGAATTTTGGAATTTTGCGCTCCTTGGAGGATTGATCCTGAGCGCCACACCGCTGAACGCGGTGTCTGACTGCGTGTCTTGGTTGCGGGGTTAAGTTATTATGTAGGTAGGATTCCTTACTTTCTCTGCTCTGTCTCTCTCGTGCGGGCGGCCGACGTCCCGTGTAAGCGACCTCTTGTTCGAGCGTTTCTGTTGCTTTTCACCTGTCCCTCCTTGTCCCCTTGGTATCTTTGATATTTGTTTCGGACGTAGCAGTCCCATGACACGATGGATCGCCGCCTCTGATTATCGCGCATCCGCCCTCATTTGGGCCAGCGGATGCACGATGCTGTTGCTTGCTTCTCGCCGCTGGTAGTGTTGCAAGAGAGGTCGATCAGGTATTGTGCCCAGGAATACGTCCAGCCGTCTCTTGAAGGTCTCCAGGGTGAACTCCCCTCTCTTAGCTCCTTTGGTAGGCTGTTAAACAGCCTCGGCCTTACCACGAAAAGTGATCCTTCCCGCAGGGATTGAAATCTGACTGCAGATCTGTTACGTAGTGGGGGATGTCTGTTACATAGTGGGGGGACCTATCCCTCCTTGTCATCTGTCCCTCCTTGTCACCTGTCCCTTCTTGTCACCTGTCTCTCCTTGTCACCTGTCTCTCTTGTCACCTGTCTCTCTTGTCACCTGTCTCTCTTGTCACCTGTCTCTTTTGTCACCTGTCTCTCCTTGTCACCTGTCCCTCCTTGTCACCAGTCCCTCCTTGTCAACTTGTCACTTCGTCTCTTTGAGATGCTAACGCTGCTTCTTTTGCGCCTGCTGCGGGCTGGACAATTGAGACCTTCCGCCTCTTGTGGGTAATGAACGATTTTTTTTATTTAAGAAACTTTCAATAGTCGAGACCTGCCACCTCGTCGGTGATGTTCGAGACCTGCCACCTCGTCGGATGTCCTGACTTTTGGTGCGAGATAGTTAAATGGCTGAAGCACTAGTAAAAATGTGGCAACTAACTAATAATTGGAAGATGATTTTTTTACCTTAACCCTGTCGCGGGCAAGTTACGACATGTGGGCACTTCGATTCTCCTCCCAAAAAGACCCTCAGAGGCACCCAGTTTTTGTTTGCGGCTACGTCATGATGACTCTGGCATTCACCAATTATCTGACCATTATGCCTTAAATAGTATAACTCTTTACTATTCGCAATAAAGACAATGCGAGTATTTAAATGAATATTTCGACTTGGGAAATGAAATTGAGGCTAATTCCTCATTTTTATAAGGACAGAAGTAGCAATATATTTCAAATTAATGAACTTTATCAAATGAAAATAAATTAAATTAAAGTTCGGAAGTTAGTGTTTATATCTAAATGGTTAAATTTGAATTATATTAATTCTTTCTGCGTAAAGACCGTATTCAATATCTTCTTCAACTGCGAATTACTCCTTCAATATGCCACATTTAGGAAAATGCACACGAGTAATTATATCTTATGATTGTTCATACTATACTGGTTTCAGAAACTTGAATATCTGAATATTTTCATGCTTGCCCGCAGAAGTGTTAACACTCATTGTGACTTATTTTATAGAGTTCAAGTGGGAATGGCGGTCGTGCATGCAAAGAAACTACTGGTGCGTCATGTACGGACGACTCTGCTAACGGAAGGACCCCCTTTAAGCAGTTTTCAGTATGCAGGTTAGTTTCTCTGCAACGTAATTTTGCTACCTCTTTTCCCTTGAGATGAAAATTTGTTCTCCTTCATTTTCCCGCTCATTGTCACTAGAACTAAACCTTTCTATAACTGTCAAGTCACCGATACATCAGCAGTTGTGGCATAAATCATAACTCAGTCATTCAATTATTTGGATTATAATTTTATATATGATGCAGGTTAAATTACAGTTGAGCACTTTCAAGGCTCCTACATCCTCCACATGTATCCTTTCCTGCCAAAACTTTCCCAACTACTTTTTACTATTTAATAAGTTTCAAACATCTTTTTTACAATTATTTATGAAACAATTACTTACAGACCCACGGTAATGGCTCAGGAGCTTCATCCTGATGAGGGCACTGTAAGGGAGCTAGATGCAGAAGACTGGCTGGCATATTTTTCTGAGGTGAGGTCGCACTACTGATACCAGGTCAAGCAAGATTTCTTCCTAGTGACCGCTCAGGGGGGACTTCTGACGTGTGTCTGTTCGTCAGAAGTCTTATGGGATTTCGCGCTCCTAGGGGGATTATTCCTAAGCGCCCCACCGCTGAGCTCGCGGTGTCTGACTGCAGGTCTCGGTTGTGGGGTTAAGTTATTATGTAGGTAGGACTCCTTACATTTCCCTTTTCTGTCTCGTGCGGGCGGCCGACGTCCCGTGTAAGCGACCTCTTGTTCGAGTGTCTTAGTTTCTGTTGCTTTTCACCTGTCCCTCCTTGTCACTTCGTCTCTTTGAGATGCTAACGCTGTTTCTTTCGAGCCAGCTTCAGCGGGCTGGACATCTGAGACCTTCCGCCTCTTGTGGGTGATGAAGAATTGAGACCTTCCACTTCTATGGTGATGTTCATCNTGATCATTTGTAGAAAATTATGCTCATATATACGCTTCAATTATGGTGTAATCTTTGTACATTAATCTGGATTTATCAAAACCATATGATAGTCAGAGATATTTATGCAAAGTAATGTTGCATAAATATCCCAGAAATTTGATAACGTTAGTGTTTCATATAAAGTCGAGGTGCAATTTCATACAGATTGCTGTGGTACCTCCTGATACGAGCAACTTCTTCATTTTTTGCTATATAAATTGCGAAAACGAGAAAATATCAATCACGACATAGAGTTATGTTCACTGTGCTGGGAAAAATATATAAACAAGACTAGCGAAGTGATTTACGAATATATTGTTGACCGTCAAATGTGTTGATATTTGTATTGAGAGGTCGCATTTGCATTAACCAACTTAATTTTTGCGCCAAATAACTTCAAATTGGAAAGTATTTCAGTCAACGAGTGTTCGAATCAAGACAACTGCTGTAAAAAGTTAAGAGTTAAAAAAAAGTTAAAAAGTTAAATCATTAAATTAGGTATTTAAATAAAAATCCTGAGTGATAATGGAACTTGGCGTCTAGTCTGGCGTGATCGAAGACGACGTCAGTCTACGAAGACGTATTTTCCTCGGTGGACTGGAGCCTCAGCTGCGGTCCAGCGTGTGGCCCTTTCTGTTGCACTGCTACCCTTACTCGTCTACCTTCGCTCAGCGTCAGCAGCTCACTGACCAAAATAGGGAACTCTACCATAAGCTCACGTCAGTAGTAACCTCTTCAAGTGTAACATGACGAATAATGTCAGAATTTTACGCGTGAATTGAGAATACTGATATATACTTTTACGTGCACATCGTTAGTATTGAACCCATTTTAAATAATGTACAAGCGACCGAACACGAGGAAATAATTATTTTGGCCACAAAGATTAACTAAATTAAATTTTTTGAGAAGTGATCAAGTTTTCTTACGAATGATATTATTTTCGATTCAGTGAGCGTCGTGAGAAACTAGAAGGCATAGAACGGGAGGAGTTCTGGAAGTCAGTTCAGTGCACCGTTGAGAAAGACGTCGTCAGGACTGACAGGACGAACCCATGCTTTGCTGGCAACGACAATCCAAATCTCACCAAAATGAAGAATATTCTACTCAACTTTGCCCTGCATCGCCCTGACATCGGGTGAGCTATCAAAATTATAATTGTAAGAGGTGCACCGATGGCCATCTATCTCATTAACCTTTGGAGCTCCAATTATAATTTGTACTTGATCGCTCTTTAATTTGTTGACCTATGTGTTGACTTAAAAATTGTTTCAAACTTTAAGCAATGTTTATACTAACCTAACCTATACATACTTCACCGATGTCTAACCAAATGTGGCCGATCGGATGAATTTGATTAGCCTAAGGACCTTTGTGCGTTTGAGATCTTTAAGAGCATTAAATTCGTTGATGTCGGTGAGTAATCAAAATCAACTTTGTATGAAGAATTGTTTGTTTAACGTTTTGTTTTGCTAGTATTGCCTGCTAAAGAATTGAGATATTTTTCTGGCCCAATAAACATTTTTTCTTCAGTTTCTGATGACGGTACAATTATATATATTAATAAACCTCTCCCGGAATGATCTTCTGAGAAAACTATAGAAAAACTTGTTATTCAATTTCAAAAGGCATCTATTTTTTTTATTCGTACAGAATATCAGCCTAATTCTTCTTAATTTTAAACTGACACCCAGCTCACTATTCACTGTAGGTACACGCAGGGGATGTCGGACATACTGGCCCCAATATTAGCTGAAGTGCGCTGCGAGCCAGATGTCTTTTGGTGCTTCACTGGGCTCATGAGCAAGACCACGTTCGTTACCTCGCCCACCGACACCGATATGGAAAAGAATCTTGTGCGTGAACTAATCTTTGATTTCGACCGCGTATTATTAAAGTTCAAAGTTGAGATATGATAGCGAATTTTAGCAATTATGAATGACATACATTTTAAATGTGCATTTTACTAGAAAATATAAGGTTTGGATCTGAAATATTGCTATGATGTCTTGTTATTTTCAAATGTCATCGTTATCGTCAATAGGCTTGGCATGATCATTATGACGAGGCTGATAACTATGTATCGTGTTGTCTGCCCGATTTATTTGAATAATGTTTCCACTACATGGATAATATGTATTGCATATAATATATTTTTAAAATATTTAACTAGAGTTATCTTCGGGAGTTGCTGCGACTGATGGTGCCGGATTTTTACGAGCACATCACTGCTCAGCCTGACGGTCATTTCCTTCTCTTCTGTCACCGCTGGATATTACTGTAATTTCTGATTTTAGCTATAACATCTGTGCAATTTTATTTGTAAACACGCTCGATCGAGGAGTCGTATCAAGTACTGATAACCATCTTGACCAAAATTTAATTATCAAAGCGTGTATGGACCGTTACTTTGGTGTGAGTAATGTATTGCCATATGGTACAATAATTTTGCTCATAGCTCTGTTTTTGCTTACAAATCAAAAAATATTTGTAGAATTTGAATTCTGTTTTTGAAACATGAAGTGCTGCTACTGCTTTAAATTTGTCAAATGTGCTCGTGCTGTTCACCGCGTCTAATGAAATTTCTTCATATATGCCATCAAATGCTGCAAGCATTCTAAAATCATCATATAATTGTGTCACATCTAAAACATCAAATGCTTATGTTCTGAACATCATATGGTGCATTTATTGCCACATGACAGATGTTTCAAGCGAGAATTTGCGGAGAAGAGCGTGCTGTCATTATGGGAGGCGTGCTGGAGCCATTATCAGACGGACTATTTCCACTTGTTTGTGGCAGTAGCAGTTGTGTGCGTCTACGGACGGGAAGTTACAGAACAAAAATTTCGGCCTGACGAGACTCTGCTGTATTTCACATCACTCGCTCATCACATGGACGCCAGTGTTGTGCTCAAAAAGGTAACTTTTCAACTGAATTAATTGCCGTGTCCTTTGTCGCTCTTCATCTTTTGTTGTCGATGTGAATTTACCCATCAAGTTAATTTCTTTTGTTTATTTCGGGGGTCTTGTAAATAACTGAAATATTTCTCACACTTTCCAGCTCTATGCTGCCATGAATATATCTGTGATTGTCACCAATCACTTTTCAAATATGGTTGCTTTGATCCATTACTAAATTAAATCGAATAGGAAAGTCCCTAGGGACTTGCAGAAGTAGATTACCAAGATCCATCAGACTATCCAAGACTATTATCAAACGTTTAATAGATGAAGAAATTTATATTTGCAGCTGCTATTTGTAAAATAACACGTTGCGCTGGACTGGAACACAATACTATACCATGCAGATAGAACATAAAGATTATTTGTTGAATGCTAGCTACGCCTACGAATGAAATAACTTCATAAACTTTATCATAGAAAACATTTCGTGAAATTACGGTGTGTGGGTTAAATTTTTCTGGTCAAATAGTGGTTAACTGTGGACCCATAAATGCGTAAGTTAAATGGTACGGAAGTGGGTTGAGCAGCATTTGTCATGATGTACCTCCTATAGCGCAATTGCGAGGTGAGCGGGAATGTGCCGGTGCAACTTACCTGGTGGTGATGGTGTAAAAGTAAAAAATAGTTACGCAGGAATTGTACTGGTGGAACTGACGTTGTAAACAGAATTTTAACATTAAGTTGAATAGAATTTGAACATTTGTTAAACAGAATTTGTACCATTGGAAATCACATAGTACTAGAATGGTTAACAGTGCCGGTGCAACTTACCTGATGGCGATGGTGCAAAATAGTTACGTAGGAATTGTACTGGTGGAACAGACGTTGTAAACAGAATTTTAACATTGATTAAACAGAATTTTAACATTAAGTTGAATAGAATTTGAACATTTGTTAAACAGAATTTGTACCATTGGAAATCACATAGTACTAGAATGGTTAACAAGAAACTCTACCTGTGGCATCACAAGGCGCAAGAGTGCCCGAACAGAGTTAAGACATGTGGATCTCTCAGTTTTCTCGTTACTTTGAACGAAGAGTATTAAAGAGATTTACCCTACACAGAAGTACAAAAGGTAAGAGCGTTGTTAACGCCAAAGTAACCATAAAGGCCCCATATGCGTAATAGATTTATTTTTGAAGAATTCGGGTCATATTTGTATGGAAGTAATCGTTGGAAATTGATCGCCGGCACCGAGCTGCAGTGATTCCCGCGATTAGTCGGCGCTTTGCCAGCCGCATGAACGATAAAGTCTTCCGAATGATGCGCATGAACTAAGTGCAGATGAAATTAGTGTAAAAATTTCTGGAATAAACAGTGAGAAAATCAGCGGCGTAGAACGTAGACGTTGAAATTAATGTTGTAGATAAGAACACCGGTTAAAAAATGAAGACGCCAGGAACGAACACACTCGATAGAGGCTTCACTCCCAATAGAGCATTGTGTACATGTGATCCATTTAAGTCTAAAAGTTAGAAGGTTTTTCAATTTCCATAGGATAACAAATTCATAGTAAAAATTCTTAAAGGACTAAACACAAAACGAAAAGAATTGTAGTCTGGTTGAATATCCCGCCAGTCCAGCGTAGAACCGCTGTCTAAAATATCTTCAAAATTAGAACAATGATGGAACCTAAATTTTGAACCGCTGCCTGTCACGGACCAGTCTGGCACGTTTTTTATGCGTTGTTGTCTATTGAGCGATCAAAAGATGAGATCCTTGGATATTTTTTTCTTGGGTATTTAGTCCCGGAAAAGTTGATATATGTATTCTGATCATTCACTTAGATTCAATTAATTTGTCAGCTTACCTGATTCTCGTTGCGCTCGCAAATTGTCTTGACAGTTCATTCATTCTGTTAGTTTGAGATAATGCATATGAGAATCATTCTTGGGAATTACGATCTTTGACTTTCGAAAACCGGCTATGTAAACCTGGTATAAAATTTGCAGAACAGACTTCAATTTATTTTGTTTGACAGCCAAACTTTCTGCTACCTCTTATGCGTTATATAATCTTTTGCAGGCTCGAGGTCTCCTACATCAGTTCCGTACGCTATCTCAGGTTCCATGTGGTGTTGTAGGCCTTTGTGAACTCTGTGGTCCAGGAATATGGGACTCGGGTCACAACCCCACGTTCGTTTGTACGGGGCACCCCGATGACGTCCCTTGTCCCGGGGAGGCGAGATCCCGCGTATCTGACGCCCAAGAATATACCGGAATATGTTCGTGAGTTCGCGATTTTCCTGTGAGGATTTTTGCGCTCTCTGTGCTGGCGCTATAGCGTATTGCATGATCTGTTACTTTCAATAACAAAACTAAAAGCAAGATTTTCCGTATCAAGTTTGGCACAATGGATGTAGTTTTTGGGAAAGAACAAAATGTTGATTTCAACGTAACTACTTGATCAAAATATTACATTGACAATATAATAATAGTTACTATACAAGTTGCCCGAATTTTCATCATAACCTAAGCTCGGTTGGGTATATAATAACCAATGCAGAGACATTCAGTTCCACTCGTTATTGCTTTAAATAAATGTTCACATGAATAAAGTACGAGATTTCGACATGCTCTCTGACCATATGTGTATCGATGTTGCTAAGGTTGAACGATTATTCCAGTACGACGCATTGTTACTGCATGCCTCATTAAGGTTTCCTCATTATTTAACATGTAAACCAGTAAGCTGTACTTTGTCTGCGCTTGGACTGTGTATAGTGCTTTTAGGAATGATTTGCTATATGTTCTCAATGAGCTACCAATTGAAATCTTCGGCCCTATTCTCACTTCGAGTCACCGACTTGTGGAACAGCCTTCTTGATGGCATCGTTGATGCTCCGAGTATGAACGCCTTTAAGAACAGTCTAGACGAAGCTATGCAGATTCATATGTTCAGTCTTAAAATGCCTAGCACCTTACGGACCAGGCACTAAGTCCAGCAGCTATCTCGATCAATCGTCAGTTATAGAAAGATCGGGTTCCAGAGGCCGGACCCCTTGTGAATCAGGTCACGTAAAGTACAAGAATCGGCAACAGGCCATGGGCCTTTTTCTTCAGTGCCGACACTTCTATTAAGAACAGTTGCTAGATAATGAACGATTAATGGGATCGATGTTCAATAACAATATTCGACAACAACATTTGAACTGACTAATCAAAGCAGAAACTCGAAATTACGGTAAAGGTAGGTGATTAAGTATATAGTTATTTACCTGGAAGAAAAAAATTCTGACAATAGTTTTGTCTTCATTTATCGCTGTTTGAGTATTTGCCAGTAGATGCTTTTGTAGCAGCTGAAATTTGTTAGTGGCTAACTCACGTGAATAAAGCAACTTATGTGTAAGCTATTTGCTAGATATCCATGTTGTAAATGTAATCCAAACTCTATTTCTTATGCTGTTTAAATACTCTGATGATCGAGGGCTCAATGCTGATGTGTCAATGATTTAGCAGAATATGTAGCTTTCCTAAATCTAGTTCCTTGCCAGGTGGCAGCGTTTTCCAAGAAGCGAATTTGTCACTTCTTTAGGCTGTTTAACTACCGTATAATTGAACGAGCAATTAAATTACGCGACTCCTCCCTGCAATAATTTTTTATCCGAATTGCAAAATTATATTACTTCGTTACTCTCCCTTGCCAGGATTCAATATGTTATGTACTATTGCCTCCTTAGTATTATTTTCGTATCATCACTTTAAATTCAGTTTCAGTTCGGAATGAGCCTATGACTTAGAGCAAAATTATTCCATCTTCCGAAGCAAATAAGGTATGTTGAAGTTTCATTGTAACTTGCGTGCTGATTAGCATATAAAACTACCATAAAATCTTATTATTTTTCTCTCCTTTTCAGGAGGGGCAAGTTTAAGAGTTAATTTGTGTTTTCTTATATATAGGTATGACTTATTCTGTTCTGTATTTATTCATGAATTACAGGAGGCCTAGCCACCTCATTACATTTCAGTTTTCTTTCATTGAGAACATTCTCGTGGCTGCCTATATAGTATATATACCTTAGAATTAGATGATTATTTTCGTATCATATTTATATCACAGATATTTTAACGTGCATGCTTGCACTGGTTACGATCTGGTCTTCACAAAATTGATGCTCTTTTGCTTGAAAATAGAGTGTTATATCAAGAACTATATAATGGTTTATTTGCACCTAAGTTAAGAGCAATTTTATTTTGTTTAGCTTTATTTTTATTTTGAATTCATTGCATTTCGCTGTTTGGTTATGCATTCATTAATATTGCACGTTCCTTGTAATTAATAATTTGCATCCAACAATTACTGAAAAATTTTCAGCCTCGACCGCGTTGTTTGTTATTATATATCCGCTTCGTAGTTTACTCTGACTCTCATAATTCGACTGTTGATAACTTTTTTTATATTTTACTCATTAATAGCGTGATGAGTTCAAATGAAAACGTCTGCCGAGTGTCGATTATTAATTATTTGTTTGAAAAGTACTGGCTACAACTGGCTTCAGAAATCAATCGCTGTTTATCGCCCCAGCTGAATACATTATCCAGAAAAATAATAATGTGATTTCTATAAGTTTTAAGGCTCCTGAGACCTGCATCGTGATGAGGCATTTCGGTATCACAATTTCCTAGTATTGCAGGATGATGTTAGTATGATAGTATGGCATTGGTGAATGCAAAGTCTACGATCGGAACAGCCTGTCAAATTATTTCTCTTAATCAAAACGTTAATTTCCATTTTAGATGTTCCTGCTCCCGTGAAATTGATGGCAACGATTTCATTATGGCGGGACTCTATAATGAATTGATTGACGTTGATCGTACGAATAATAATTAATTTTTGTTACTTGTTTGTTACCATGCTAATTATTGAGCTGCTAAACATTCCTTTCTACCAAAGATTCCAGTCATTATTATTGTTGTGAAATGCTTCTTTTATACGATTGTTTTTCTTTTTAATTATTCGTTTTTGTATACCATAAGCCTAAGTCTATGTTGACGTTAATTTTATAACTTTATTATAGCCAATAAGCAAATCAAATAAGAGTCAAATGACATGACGTATTATCTGATAATTCTGTTTCAGTTTCTTCTTGCTTACTGAGGTATACTAACTGATTTATAATTACTACCAGATAATGAGGGTCTTATCTTTTTTTGACGCTTTGCTCTCTGATCTCACAGTACCCACGTTGCCAGTCATGTGTCTTTCTATGATGTTTACCTCTACTTGAGCTGGAGTGGTTTGTTACGTTATATTTTTAGCTTGATGTTGTAACTTGGGTTTTGCTTGAGGGGATAAAGTCATGAAACGAATACGTACCAGAAAATTTTTCGTTTCAAAAATATAAAGTAAATGAGACAGTCGATCAAGATCTTAAGTACCTAGTTATGTTAGTGGCTCTTCAATTAAACATGTTTAGAATTTCCATTCAATGAAAGCGTGTGGCTTTGTTGTGTGTCGTATCATTACATAGAAAATATTGGTATAATGTGCACCATTTTATGTATCCTCGAGACACATTCAACTAATTTTTGAAATATCTTGTAAAAAACATCCAGCGGTGAAATTTTGTTTGATGGACAAGTCTGTGAAACTTTTTCGAATATTGTATACAATATTTCCTACAATTAAAATTTCCGAATAAATTTGACACTCTCACTCTGCGCATTAAATTTCATTTAAAACACAAGGATGTAATTTTCACACTTAGCACCCCTGGTATCTTGATGGTCATAGAAAAAATCGTTATCTCGATGTGCCACTTGATATTTTCACTGCGGAAAAATCTGTACTTAATGCCTAAATATCTAGCCAGCCAGAATACGTTCCACGTTAACTCTTGATGTAAGTTTGGTTTGCACGTCTTCTTGAATCACAATTGCACCACAAATGTATTTGGAACAAACGAGCGGAAGTGAGTTACACACGTCAGCTCTTCAATCCCAGAAGGCAACGGGTTTCATCATCAGTTATTATTGCCGTTGCAGTTATGCGTGTACAAGAATTTACGCTACTTTAGAGTGAGCATTTCCTTGACATTTTTAGCTTGAATAAAAATTTTTAGTTGTAGAAAAATTTACATCCAAGGAGCCATTAAAAGTAAGTTTCAATAATTTAAAAAAAGTTAGTGTCCCCAAGCTAAGCAAGGAACAAATAATGGTTACTTATTCTGTATCTAAATCTCTTTCTTTTCACCAGTAAAAATGATGACTTCGTATTTCATCACTATCCTGAATGCAGTTTATGAACAGTATGGTGTCTTACTGTATTTCATGGAAAATACCGTAAGTGTACAAAAATTTATGGGAAAAAGTTTGATACGTGTTCATATTCCGGCGAAAGCAATGTCTCCGGGTTCCTGCTTCCGCGCCGTAGTGAAGTTTTCGCAGACCTTAATAAAACTCTCCATAGCTTGTCAATGGCAGTGGCATAAGACTACCTGTTCTGTAGGACTGTAGCAAAAAACGCTACATATGTGTGTTCTTATATACTTTCTTTACCGGGATCCTTCAAATTTGCTTCCACGCTTCGGCGACTGCTATCGCGTGTACTGGAATACGCTTGAGATTGTCATACAAATATGTATACTGATATAAATGTTCACTTGGACAATGAATACCAGTTACAGGCACAGTAATACACAAAGCAAGGCTGCAGTGTAAAGAGCATCGAATGCTGCAAGTTAAAGAGTAACATCATTAACAGAATTCTTAATTACTGCTTGGAAGACTCATTGTGTCCCAGTAGTTGGGAAAATCTTTCGCAAGATCTTTAAAACAAGTGTTTGCTTATGTGCATTTTCAACAATAGATCTACTCAACGAGATTGGAATAATGATCACATGCTCATTCCACTGGTGAAGATTTCATATTTATTTTATTATACCTCTTTTTTTTGTCAGTCTTACTGTAGCCGTGATGCGAGCAAGAGCTTATTTCAACAACACGAAATTTCCAGATTATGCCCATTTCCTGCATAAGTATCCAGATTTTGGCCACAACCATCTCTGTTGATGTGTTAATATAGACAGTAAAGAAATCGACATTGTAGTCACTCTTCAATGTATTATACCATGGGGGAATGGAAATAGGTTATATTTGTACGTGCATCGCCCTGGTTGCTGGCATATCGAAAGTTCGAGAGTTAAAAATATTATGCGATTCATTGTTCGTACAAGTGGAAGTTTTATGGGTTAGGAAAAACCTTATTTGTTAATCAAATTATCTACAAATTAAACTGCATTTTGGACTGCTTAGAGCATCTTTGGGAAATTGATTTCGTCTTGCTTGCCATGAGTTCTTCGAAATCGGTATTTTTGTGCAGATGAAGTCGATTAATTTACGATTTATTTATTGATCCCGAAATTTTTCGATAAAATCATTGTTACTTGAAAATCAATGCAAATAAAGACCAGTTATCCTAAATACATGTTTTTGAATCTGTGTGCATTGGTGCAATAAGAAAGTCTTCGTCAGTTTGTGAAGGTGATGAATGCATTTTCTCGTTCCCTAAATGAAGGGGATACTAGGTGCGGTCAATTAAAGATCCGGGAATTCCTGATGTTCTTAGTTGGTTGTGAGTTTTGGAGTCTGGGTAAAGGCTTTGTTTGATCTGTGACTAGGCTTCTTGGATGAAGGTTGCGCTATCAAGCGACTGCAATTTAAAGCTCTGAACCGCAAGAAGTTTAGAAGAGTCTTCTCCGTGAAAGTGAGGTGCAGGGTCCTTGCTTTGGTGTTGCACAGAAAGAAATAGTAGTTTTTTACGCCTGGCATTATCTTGGGTAAACCTCCATTTCTAAGCGTCCTAAGTGATTTTGTTGTGTTGACGCTCTGTATTCTAAAAAAGTTAATGAGAAGATAAAGTTGTTTATAAGTTAATATAAA